TTAAGATTCTAAAAAGGCTAATGAACTACTCCCTTCGTCCCCCTGTATTTGTCCACTTTCATTTTTACACACCATCCAATGCACTTCTTTAATCCATTTTATTTTGTAAGTTGTATATTAAAAAATTATAGAAGTTATATATTAATAATCTATATGTTAAGACAAATCAAACAAGATCACACATGACTATATTTAGGTTTACACATTGAGAGAATTTGATGAGTCAAAGTGCTTAAATGAACAGTTCCAAAAGTCAAAACTGAACGAATACTCCGAAACGGAGGGAGTATTTATTTATTGTATCTACTATTAAAAATATCATATTTCGTAGTTAAAATTGAAACTCCATATGAATTCTTGATTCTAGACACGAGTTCTCCTCTCAAATGTATAATGGACTTTACTTATCAGAACCTATTGGAAAAAAGGAGAAAAATTATTCTTTTTTCAAGGGCAGGGTACTACTGGCACCCACACTCAAAGTTGTAGGTGTTGATGCCAACTGGATAATGCTTGCATTTTTTAATGAAGTCAAATACTCGGAGATTCCAAACTACAAATATTTTTTCAAAAGAGGGTACCAATTATGGTAACATTGGCCAAACATCTATATTGTGTAATAGTACATGATTAATTGTTGACAAGCTACGAAAGAACGTTCTTGGTGCTATTGTGGTTTTGAGAAATCAAGTGGGAGAAAAGGTTTACATAGCCCGGATGAATTTGGTATCATCTGATACCGGACTACCGCCCCCCTGAAGTTCTAGAGAAGAAAAGTTCAAATAGTTTCATGTTTTGTTATGACTATCAACAAAAGTCAAGGTCAAATATTGTCAATTGTTAGGTTATTTTTAATAAAGTCGGTGTTCACTCGTGGCCAACTTTATGTTGTTGTTTTTCAAGTGAAGACAAAGACGTGATTAGATATATTTTTCATAAATGACACTGGAAAGCATTGCAACCATATAAAAAATGTTGTATACCTTGAAGTCTTTCAGAAAATTTGTGACTAAAACAAACTTTGTTGTTGTGTACATATTTCATTCCTCAAATATTATTTATTCTACTTTGATTTTTTGTCAATGATAGAAAACATCATGTCAGAAGTATATTTTCTTTACTCCAAAAAAAAAACTCCCTCCGTCCCAAATTATTTGTCACGTTTCTATTACCGAGGCAAAATATCAAGTTTTTTCAATTCATTTTATTTACATATTGGTAAAGAAATAAAAAATAAAAATTACATATCAAAAAACTACATGAAAAATTCTTCGAAATAAGAGGTGTCAAAAATATTTTATTTTATCAAATAACCAATGAAAACGTAGAAATGAACAAAAGTTCCCGCGACTGTTGAAAAAGCAAATTTTATAAATGTGGCAAATAATTTGGGACGGAGGGAGTAGTACATTGAAAAAATTTCAGAATTGATTTTTTTTATTCAACCCTGTGCGTGTTGTCAAATACTTAGGCTCTGTTCCATACGCCTGATCTGATTGAATCTGATCTGAATTTTTGAAGTTCTGATCTGATTGGGTCTGATTTGATCTGATTCAATCTGATCTGATCTGATTTTAATAAAAATAAGTAATAAGTATAAAAAATAAGTCCTACGGAACGGACACTAAGTAGTTTGATTAAATGATTAAGCAGGTGCTTTTATAAAAATGGGCCCCTAAGAAATGGGGGCCTGTGCAATGACACTTGATTTACAGCCAATGGGTCGGCTCTGGAGCTGATTGAACCCAGCCCAAATATTGTGTTCATGTAATCAATCATGTTGGTTCCTTCATTGTTCACATTTCACAAATTAAACGAGTTCATTGGACTTTTAACTCTTTCGTTCCTCTTGTTTCCATCCAATTGTGACTTGCACGGTCATTTTCTTTTTAAATTTCGAACATAAATTTTTTTAAAAAAAAATTCAAATTGTGATATACATTTAATGTTAATAGATCTATCTTGAAATTTAGTTTTAAAACATAATATATATTTATATATAAATAAAGACATTAACGATCAAAGTGAGTATTTGTTTCCAACTTTTAAACGATGCACTTTTTGGCTACATAACCAACTTGTCACTTACGAGAAGTTCTAATTAGGAGTGGGCAAACGGGTCAAGGAATTGGGAGTCGGAACCGAATCGCTGGGTTCGGTTCGGGGCGGGTCCTCTTTTCAAAAATTTATAACGATCCGGGTCGGTCCGATCCTTGTAGATTTTAGAGTCGGTCCGGTTCCCCATTTTGAAATTGTATTTATTGGACCCGAACCGTTTTTTGATACCCTAGTATTATTTTTAGTAAATACACCGACCTTAGATTTACGATCGAGTTACACCCTTCAATCTTTCCCAGTAGTCAGAGAGTCAGAATTCACCAAAAAATTTGTTGTTGTTGGATAAACATGAGGTGAACACTTTACTCTCATGTATCTCTTTGTCATTGTTTTGTCTTCATTTAGTCCTCTTTTTTGTGTTGGATGACTTAAAACTGACAATAGAATACTACATTATTATGAACTAATGGTGAATGACCATGTATGTATTATTAATTTATTATCACTTTATTTTTTTAATATTAGTATCATGATAGGTTTGAATTTCGAACCCGTTGACCCGTGGAATCAGCCCGTTTCAAACAAGCCGGGCTAGGTCCGGTTTCAATTTTAAAATTTTGAAAACATGTTTCGGCCCGGTCCGTTTTAATAAAAACAAGTCGAGTCCAACTTATACAAATCTTAGCTCGGACCGGCCCGTGCACACCCCTACTTCTAATGGTTTAAACCATAGCATGAACCCATTAAATTACTCCGTATATTTCTTTAACATGATACAATTAGTCCTCAAAATAGCTCTGCGGATTGAACAAACAAAAACAACTGAACAAACAAAAACTATTGATCAATTAACTAGCATTTACAAGTACTAACCAATCAATGTTAAACATCTGAATGGTATGAAGATCCCAAAACCCTAGAAATCAATTTCAATGTGTTCAAAATTGAAATTTCAACAAATTATTACCAATATTTGGATAATCTCTGGCTCAGGCGAGACCAGCCATCATCATGACCTTGAATTCATCGAAGCTAATCATCCCATCTCCGTCGGAATCCACGCCGTTAATCATCTTCCTGCATTCCGCCATCGAGCAGCCTTCGCCCAGGCTTCCCATCACCTGATGCAGCTCCTCCGCCGTTATAGTCCCGTCCCGATTGATATCGTAAACAGAGAACGCCTCCTTGAGATTCGCCATGATCTCCTCCGGATCGACGTCCTTGGTGTTGAGTTCGATGAATTCCTGGAGATCGATGTGGCCGTCGCCGTCACGGTCCACCTCCTTGATCAAATCCTCCAGGTCCTGCTCCGTGGCGGTGGCGCCTAGGGAGGTGAGGATGGATCCGAGCTCCGAGGCGGAGATCTTGCCGTCGCTGTTGGCGTCGAATTTGGCAAAGACTTGTTCCATCTCGGCGATTTGGAGGCGTGAGGAGGAGATGGAGAGCGCGCGGAGCATCGGAGGGGCTGATTCCTCCGGGGAAGGAGTGGCGCCGCCGGTGGAAGCGGCGGTGGTCGATTTCTTCTTCTTCGAGAACAGGGATCGCAGACCCATTTTTCTTTTTTGAAAATCGGTGAATACGATACGAATTTTACTGTCGTCAAAAAACGATAAATTTGGTGAAGAGAGAGTTTGGTTTGGGTTAACTTTCGCTATTTATTTAGTTTTGAATTTTGATGAAAAATATTCCTTTTCACATAAAGATAGTTTCTAATTTTCTATTTTGACTTTTAAGAAATTTAAGGGAGATATATTTTTGTATTAATTTTTTAAAAATGTTCTTGATGTGATAGATAGAAGTAGGATGGAATAGGTAGATTATTACTAATAAAAATGTATGATGTTTTCGGTAGATTTAATGGTAAAAGTAATTTTTTAATAGAGAAGGAAAAAAATAGCTTGAGGGACAAGAAAAAAAGAAAGGAGAAAGAATTTTTGGGACGGATTGAATATTAAATTCGATTCTAATAGGAATAAAATATTGATTATCTAAATATGACTAATTTACTTTTTTTTAACTTATTCTTATTTTTTTATAACTAGTTCAGTTCAATTGAGATCAGAACAAATCAGATTGGAAAAAGCTTTATATATTATTATATTCAAATTAGATCAAACCATCCAAACTAAATCAAAATTTATTACAATTAAATCAGAATCATTCAAAAAAGCAATTCATTGACGAGGATACACATTACAAATCTTAGGTGGGTGTGGTGCAAGTCATTGTGTATTTAACATCACTTTTAATTATTTTCATATTATTTGGCATTGTAAAACATATTCTCTTCGTCCTACAAAACTCTTCTCTTTTCTTTTTTCATCCGTCCCAAAAAACTCTTCTAATTTTCTATTAAAAAATCATTTTTATCCCTATTAATTCTTGACCTACCTATCACATCATATTTTTTCTTTATTAATCTACTCATCACATCCTACTTTATCCATCAAGGACATTTTTAGAAAGTCAACACCAAAATACACTCCCCTTAAATCCTTTAAAAGTCAAAATGAGAAATTTTTTGTGGGACCAAGGAAGTATTTTTTTATAGTGTTCTCGCATTATTTTTTACATCACTAGGCATTCTCAATCACATTTTTTTACTGTGTGGGCATGGGTAATTTTTTTGGATTATATCTTTGATTGGCCTATTAAATTGTTTTTTTATTGCATTTAACTAATTGTATATGAAATATAATTTCAGAGTGCCTGTTTAAGTGACAATCCATTAAACCTGAATTCATCGTCTTTCAATAAACCGTGCTTTATCGGTTTTAGAGTGAAATATACAAGTACACCTAAAACGCCTTTTAATGACATATCGCATGAGGAGAATTTCAAATCTTTAAAAAGGATTTCGCGGGGTTAAGAAAGAGAATTATAGATTATTTTACAAATGTGTAAAACGAAATACATTATTTAATGCAATTTTAAATTTCATGAAATTTAAAACTTGTTTACTTAATGTTCCACATGTTGCATGTATGTTAGTTGATACAAATTAGAACAAAACGTAACCCCATCCACTGCCCAAGATTTATAGATCCGCCGTAGTGTGGCGGCGGCCGCGGCAGCCATGGAGATCAAGCATGAATTGTGGTTAAGATTCTTGTTTGGCCGCCGTGTCATGTAAGCGCTTGAAACGTTGGGCCAGAAAGTCCCCAAAACGGACAGGGGGGAATCTGCATAATAATTAGTTCATGTTCCAAATTAATTAAAACTGAATATATAACACCATCAAGTTTAATTATATTTAGAGTAAGTTAGATAAAAGGTCCCCAGTTATAGGTCGTTTTACATATTTAGTCCCTACATATCAAATATTACTAATTTAGTCCTCAATTATTATATTCATTTCCACGAATGGTCCTTTGTTAACATTTCCGTTTAGAACGTGGATAAAATTGTAAATTCACACTTCTTTCTCTCCTCAATTAAGCTTCCTCCCTCACCTCGCACTCCTTTCCCAAACACGTCGCTGAGTTTGAAACTTTGAACCCAAAACCGAAATCATCATTCTTCTCTCAATTGTTTGTCTAACTGGTGGAACCCAAATTTGAAACCAGTAACCTTCATGGATGAGTTTTAATGTTTATTTTCTTTGCAATTTCTTGAGACTAATCGATAAAACTCATCCATAAAGCTTATTGGTTTTGATTTTATATTCCACCACGAAGACTAATAATTGAGAGAAGAATGATCATTTCAGTTTTGAGTTTAAAGCTTCAAACTCAGTGACGAGTTTGGGAAAGAGTACGAGAGGAGGACATGTTCTTAACAAAAACGTTAACAAAGGACCATTCGTGAAAATGGTACTCCCTCCGTTCTCAAAAACACTTCTTCTTTCATTTTTTTCAGTTCCAACAAAATACTTCCACTTTCTATTAAAAAACCACTTTTACCCCTACTTTTTCATACCCTACCTATCACATCATACTTTTTCTCTAATAATCTACCCATCACATCTTACTTTTACCCATCTTATCAAGGGCAAAATTGGAAGTCAACTATAATTTAACATTTCCTTATTTTTCTACTTTTTCAAAGTAGAAACTCTTTTTGAGAACGGAGGGAGTATAATAATTGAGGACTAAATTAGTAATATTTGATATGTAGGGACTAAATATGTAAAACGACTTATAAATGGGGACCTTTTATGGAATTTACTATTATATTTATTACTCTCTATAATTATTTAATTAATTAATTATTGTACCGTGAGGGAGATGATTGAGAGCAGCAAGTCTCTGCACATTCTATAATCCAATCCGGATTGGCGTCTAGTGTGAAAACCACCTACATATATAATAATATTAATAAATAAACAACCCCCAAAAATACATAGTACTCCCTATGCACTAATAAGTTGAATTTTATTACATACCGAAAAACGTTCTTGTCCGGTTGGTATAACTCTATGCAGGTTCGACCTTCAAAGAATATCAGCAATTTAGTAACCATTAATTGATACAATTAATTAATTCAAGATAGTATGCATCAAACTTGCATAAATTACTGAATTTTTTTAAATTTGACTCAAAATCTAAATTCCAATTTTTTCCCAATAAGAGTAATAGAGAAACTTGAACTTACAAGAATATGCCATTAGTCCACCTCTCAATGGCATCACCAATGTTCACAATGAAGGCCCTGTTCGTGGGACGAAATCAAAGCCAAAACGTAACAAATAAAACCTCATTCCTAGCTAGCTCATTGCAAATTAATTACAAATTAATACAATTAAACGACCACAAAAATAAGTTCACGTTTATTTTGGAGTAATATATATATATATATATATATATATATATATATACACACACACACACACTCACCCATCTATATGTGGTACGTCCTCCCAAACCTTTGGCTCCGCAAATTTATCCCTGCAGACCTGGTCATTATAATAGAAATCAATAAATTAATTTAATTATATCCAAGTCATCCACAAATTGTTACTGTTATATATCTTGGTTGTCACATTGTGAGTTGTGACAGAGACAAAGTATTGTGGCAAATACCTGGTGTTAAAATACATTTATATATCGTCCCTTTAAAGAAAAGATTGTGGTACTTACTTGAAGGCCACGAACACCATCGGTTGCTAGCAGTGTCAGAGTCCCAAAGTCGGTATGGGCAGAAGCACCATATACTTCTTCGTCGGTATCACCCAGTTCTCCTAAAAGTAAAATAAAAACACCCCGGAGTATAATTACCTATTCCTTGTACTAATGGGTGAACTAATGAACCAAATCAACTAAAACTTAGATAAGAGTATTTTAATTTTGTCGGATGCTTAAATTGTATCTTCTATTTTACATATATTTTCATTAAAAATTTGACAAAACGATGAAGTCATGTCGACGTACTTTTGTTTTGTACGGTTTTCAATATATTGATTAGTTTTCTATAAATTTATTTATTTTTATTTCTAAATTTAGTTTTAAATAAAGTTAGTCGATCATCATAAATTATAAAGTGATTTTAGTTTTGGAATAGAGAAATTCATTCTAAAAAAATTACATTTAGCTACTAGAAGTGATCATAATTATAAAGTAAAACTGGATGATGATGATGATGATAATTATAATTATAATAATAATAATAATAATAATAATAATAATAATAATAATAATAATAATAAGATCGAGTGATATATACTTACCAATGTAATGTTGCAATCCAAGAAAGGAAGCTGGTGAGACCATCGCATCATTTTTTACAAAGAAATCTTCTTCGAGGTTCAAGGAAAGAGCGATCAATGAAATCAATTTTTTACCAGCGGATCTGAACAAAGTGTCGCATTAGAAACCGTGAAAAATTAAATAATAAGTTAATTTTAGGATGGAGGAAGTATTTTATAATGTTCCTTATATATATTCCTTTCATTCCAAGAATATTGTATCACTTCAAACAACTGGTGCAGAATATATTTTTATTAGAACATAACTGAATGATTAATATAATCTCTAACACTTTTCCTCAATAAATTTTTTGAGAAGTCAGAATAATAACTTAGATTATATTCTTGGGACGGGGGGATAGACTTTTAACTAAATAATTTACATTTATTTAACATCAATACTATGATAAGTTGAATGGAAAATATTCTTTAGTGAAACATCATAAAGTGAAGTTTAATAGTGGCGAGAGAAGGTAGTTTAATGAGTCATGACTTACTGAACTTTTCCATAGTAATCTTGCATTGTTGATTTCCATGTTGGGAAGACATCTGACGATAATTTATTCACAAAATTTAAAGGAAGAAAATCAAAATTAAACCCACATTATAAACATGATTTGCAGCAAGAAGTTAGAGTAATGATTAAATAATTACGAGTATTTCATTCCAAAATCATTGAAAAATATTTTTCTTGACCTTAAAATCTCATGTGACAAATTGAAGTGTTATACTCCTTCCATCCCTAAATATTTGTCCAGTTTTGTTTTTTCGGAATCAAAATTAATGAAATTTGAACACTAATTAAATAAAATTGATATTAGGTATTGATGCAAAAATCATTGTCTAAGACTTTTTTGTTTATACGGAGTATAATAGTTTCAAAATATTGTTTTATCTAATAAATAAACTTTATAGCTCAAATGTCTAAAGTGATTGACCGCAAAAGCTAAAATTGGACAAATATTTAGAAATGGGGGTATGGGTAATAAGTAGCAATTGTTCAAAGTCACGAGGGAACCTACTATATATACCTTCACGGGGCCAAATGTTAATATCATCACCACTCTCACCATTTTCCAACAAAGGGCCTATAGTAAAACTCTCCTTTGCATCACCTGTATGTTATTTTGTTTTATTTTCAGTAAACTAATTAAAGAAGAACAAAAACATTTCCATTGACAAAATGTATAATTTAATTCCATATATGGTTGGTTCACTAATAATATGATATCAAATTTTAATTTTAAATAGTTTTTCATTTAAAAAAAAATTCTTACTCGACCAAAAGTTCAAGTTTATGATTGCAGATAGATCCAGTAAAATTTTATACTCTAAGTATGCAATTGATTTTGAAAGAGTGAAATTTGCACTAAATAGGACTAAAACACAAGTCATTTCCCAGGGAGTTACGACTGGCTCCTGAGGCTGAAGGTCAGATAGAGTTCAATGACTTAAACTTTTTTATTCTCTAAATAAGACTTAATAATGACTAGTGAGAAGAATAATGTCCAAGTGATGCTGGACATTTAGTTGAATAATGACTAATAGATAATGACCAATAGTTTTACATTGGGAAATAAAAACATATAGTCCTATATTGAGAAAATCATTATGTTTTAGTCCTATTTAGGTAAATTACTCTTTAAAAGATGGACTTACAAACCTTTGGAAGTAGAGGAATTAGCATCAAGTTTATGGGCATATAAGGGTATGAAGCCTCTGCTGCCTCCCTTGGAAAGAGACCTCAACTTTTGTTCGTGAGGACGGGAAAAGAATTTTCTGCTCTCTTCGAAAACCGCCGCCAACAACTCCTTCTCCACCCCATGGTTCACTAGGTAAAAGAACCCACATTCATTGCATGCCTAGCAACACAAATCATATATATGATGAACAAACTTCAGTAATATATTCAAATAAAATCATTGCAATATACTCTATCCAGTTTGCATTAATATACCAAGTTATTCAAGTGATATGTATCTTTTTTTTTCTTCGATGCTAAAGATACTACTAGAGAGTTAAATAACAGAAATAAATATGTCAGAAGTCAAAATAAGAAAATAATGTTTTTGCAAAGACAGGGATCAGTACTAATTAACCTTGCGAATGGAGGAGGCACTGAAATGCACATTATAATGGTTCAAGTTAATGATGGGCAACTTGAGATCTTCCATGGCCAAAACTCAGCAGCTAAAAGATATATGTATGTACACAAACCCAAACAGTAGCATGCACTATATATACGAGTATAACAAATATTCTTCACAAATACGAAGTATTATTTTAATTAATTTCTCAAAATGGAAAGTGCGCATACCGAGGGGAAAGATTAATGTGCGTATTTATAGCTTATCTTGTGCCCGCCGCCTCATCCTCGGGTCAAAGAAGTACTCCGTAGTGGTCAACTTGCCAACTAGCTAGTCATCTTACGTCCATAGCCATGCATAAATTCATTGCATATTGCCTTAAATCTTGATTCTTACTTCATCCATCCATAAGTGTTTTGTCCAATTTTGAAAATACAATATTTTATGCCATTGATCTAATAAACTTATTTTTGAATTAATATTTACTATGAATTTTATTTAACTTATAGTTTAAGTTTGTCAATTTTAACTAAAAAATCAAAACATTACAAACACTCTAGGATAGGATGGAGTGTTTTTCCAATTTTGAAAATACAATATTTTATGCCATAGATCTAATAAATTTATTACAATTTTAACTATAAAAAATCAAAATATTACAAACATTCTACGATGGAGATAATATTATTTATTTTTGGTTTGTTGAATCTCAAGGATCTCTTCAGATCCAGCCGGACGGTGTAAGTTGGTCTTTGATCGTCACAGATTTGGTGGCAAATACTAGAGCTTGCACCTGATATATATAGAGGCCTTATGGTTAGCATAATTGCCTCCCAGGTCGATTGCTAGTAATCGGACTCGGGTCTTATCTCTTGGCACTCCTTGCCTTTCCAATTGCACAATGCCCACCGACATTACTACATACTCTTTCTGTCCCTTAAACTGTTTGTCCTTTCTTTTTTTTCTTCTCTCACAAACTCCTTCCCTTTTAATTAAAAAAATTTAACTTTTACCACTATGAAATCTTACAATATCTATCACATCATATCTTTTTATTAATAATTTATCCATTATATCTTACTTTAATCTAGTACATCAAGGATATTTTTAGAAAATAACACAAAAAAAACTTTATGTTAAAGGGATAGAGGAAGTATATACGGAGTATATGTAGTCAAACTACACCAAAGGTTTGTACACAGTCAAATACGCCAAGCGTTTGTGCCTAGTCAAAAGTCAAAATATATACGGAGTAGTACCAAGTTGGTACGGTTAAGTATTTATTTAGAAATAATGTGTCATGCATCCAGAGTCAATAATTCAAAATCCAGTCAAATGATGAGCACCAGCTTCAAAATCTAATCAAGTGAGTACCAAAACATTCGTACGTTCTGAATAGTGAATACCGTATATCTCTTTTGCCTAAATTCATTTAGGTCCCGTTTGGTACATGAAATTCAAATTATGGAATTGGAATTGAGGATTTCAATTCTAATTCTAGTATTTGGTAGCACAAAAATTATGGCTCCGTTTGATACATGGAATTCAAACTATGGAATTGGAATTGAAGACTTCAATTCCAATTCTGATGTTTGGTAGCACAAAAATTATGTGAATTTGGAATTGATAGTGCAAAAATGAATTGGAATTGGTAGAATTCAATTCTATAGAATTGAATCCCATGAAATTTCAATTCCAATTCAATTCCAATTCCGTCAATTCCATATACCAAACGGACCCTATGTGTATTTGGAATTGATAGTGCAAAAATAGAATTGAAATGAGTGAATTCAATACTATGGAATTGAATCTCATGAAGGCCTTGTTTGGATGTTGGCTGTGAGCTGTTGGCTGTTGGCAGTCCGTGCCAGCTGTTATGAATAGCTGTTTAGTTTAGCTAGTTTGACTGGCAGAATGAATTGGCTGATCGTTAAAAATGTTTGGTAAATTAGCTGTTTAAAAATAGTTTTTCATATATATATATATATATATATATATATATATATATATATATATATATATATATATATATATACACACATACATACATACATACATACATACATACATACATACATACATACATACATACATACATACATACATACATACATATATATATATATATAGACACACACACACGATATTTATTTTTCATTTTTTTACATGTAAAAATTAAATCTTTACTAGATGGAGTACTAAATTTTAATTTCATATAATTCATAATAAATTATTAATATAATTTTTTTAATGATTTTTGCTTTTTATTTTCTCATTTCATTTTTTGAAATTTTCAATTTTCAAATTTTATTTTTTTTAGTATTTAATTTTTTTAATTTTTATTTTTATTTTTATTTTTTACATATATTATAAAATATATTTCAACAAAAATGATTTTAAAACAATTATTTTTCCTAACCGCCAAGTCCAAATGCCACTCTCCTTGGCATTTCAAATTTTGGCTTTTCGAATCAAAATGCCAAGTGAAAAAAGCCATTAGCCAAACAATGGTTTTGGAAGTTCGCTTGGTCAAAAAAGCCAAAGTCAATCAAAGATGCCAAAAGCTATCCAAAATGCTATTTTCCAAACACGGCCTAAATTTCAATTTCAATTCAAATCCAACTCTATCAATTCCGTATACCAAACGCACCCTTATACTGTTGGAATAACGTGGAAATCTAAACATTTTAGAATTGATTTTACCTTTAATTGGTATAAAAGTTAAAAAATACTCTCTCTCTCCTAACACTTTATTTTCAGACATCATTCTCATGATCAAACTTTAATCATTTTTTACTTATTTCTGTTAGTTATTTGTTATCCGGAGTAAATCAATATAGTCATGTCATCTCTTGTTTTGTAGAACTTTTGATATAGTTTTTAAATATATAACTTTTTTAAATATTACACATATAATAAAATAAATTAAATTGAAAAACAATTTTAGTGAAACTTAGTAAGTAGAACTGGGAAGACAGAACTTAATAATTTCAATTAAATTGAACTTAGTAAGCAGAACTTAATAATTTCAATGAAACTTATATGTTGGGTACCTTGTTGGTTCTTTTTAGATGTGGGATGAAACTCCCAACACCCCTCTCCCTCAAGTGTAACTACCTGGCCCCATCGCGTATTTTTTTGCCAGTTGGGCTTGATGTTTTTTCTTGCCTTGTGGTTAGCCAGCCCAATAGATCAGGAGTTCAAACCTAGACCGAACATGCTTTGGTACCATGATAAAAGTCTGGTGTGCGAAATATATAAGCGTGGGGGAACACACACCCGTTTGTGCACACTTGCGCAATAGGCCCCCACACGTAACCCTATGAGGATTCAAGGCTAAAACCAATTAGCGACATGAGGAGAGACGGTGTAATTTATATGTTGGATACCTTGTTGGTTCTTTTTCAATGTGGGATGTGTAACACCCTGAAATTTGAAGAAACTAGAAAGAGCTGGATGTTGGAAGAAATTTGAAGAAACTAGAAGGAACTCGAAGAAACTGGAAAGAATTATAAGAAGCTAGAAGGAACTGGAAGAATTGGAAGAAAATGAAAGAAACTGGAAGAAACTAGAATAACTAGAAGAAACTGGATAAACATCAAAAAATTGGAAAACCTAAAAAAACTTTAAAAAATTATTTTAGTTTATTTTTATATTATTCTCATTCTAATTCTTGTTGTTATAAATTACTATTATTATTATTAATATTAATATTATTATTATTATTATTGTTATCATCATCATCGTCATCATCATCATCACGTTATCTTAATAAATGCCTTTTAGATATAAAAACATTGTTATTTTTCATACAAAAAAAACTACTTTTGAAAAAAAAAATCATAATATAGAGTTTGCATAAATATCAAAATGTTACATTTTAAAAAATTATTGTGGTTACGTTGCACCTCAATTTATTTATGCAGTATTTATTATAAATAATATATTTGTATTTATACTTTATATATATTACAATATTTTGTATTAAATATCAGACATGTCACATAATGTAATCAAACCTTTTTTTTATAATTGACCAAACATAATTTATTTATATCCTTCAATTCAACTTTCTCCGAATTAAAATCTTTTTGTCGAGGTACACTTTTTAGTCCATATTTTAGTTTGAAATCCTTCATAAACTTTTTCTTTCTTATGACCTCTTTCCTTTTTATAAAATTGTTTTAAAGAAAGTTCACTACAAGTCTACAACACAACTAAATAACTTATATTTAGAGTACTTCAAAAAATTGACAATTAGCCTACTTATAAAGATGACTATTTCTACTCAAACAACACATTCGTCTATTTTGTCGGGAGAATGTACATTTACTAAATCGTAAACAACACCCGCATATTACCCATATGCTTTCACCATAACTATTAACAAAATTCAAGGTTAAACGCAGCCTTTTGTTAGATTATTTTTAACCAAGTCGATATTCATTCACAGTCAATATAATGTTGACATTTCACGAGTGAAGAAAAAATCGGATTAAAAATATAACTTCTTGATGAAAAGATGAAAATGGAAACTCTTGCAACCATATAAAAAATGTTGTGTATCCTCAAGTCTTTCAAAAAAATTGATTTGAATAAAAATTTTCATGTACACTTACAATATTCTTCAAATATGATTTGTTCTATTTTCACGTTGATGTCTATAGTGTTAAAAAATTATGTTAGAAATATATGTTCTCTAATCCAAAAATATTACATCGAAAAAATATCTTTTGGATAAAAAAATTACGTTCGAACCTGTGCGTGGCACAAGTCAAAATACTAGTTCAACTAAAAGTTCAAGCTTGTAATTGTTAAACAGTATCCCACATCGAAAGTTGAAAAGAAAACAAATTGATATATATATATATATATATATATATATATATATATATATATATATATATATATATATATATACTCACCAAAAAAACCAAAAAAAAAATATCATCACCGTTGAATAATCATATCATCAATTCTGGTTGCACCGTTGGTTATGCACCGTTGCCACTAAAGCATAATAATTCATGGTTTGAATGCTTTGTTTTTTTTCCTCAATTGATTGGCTGCCAAGGGATTTGATCACCACGCCGTCACCGCAATTGCCCCCCTCCGTCCAGCCATTCATCTGAATTGAATCGTAGGGTTAGCGTGATCAATCAAGTTGAAGTGTACTGCTGCAAACACATTTACCCGTAAGTTTGTGTTGTGTGGTGGTGTTTATTTTGGCAATGGATTCACTGTTAGACAAAGTTCTTGGTTTACTCGGAAAAGTTCTACGGGGACAAATTGAATTTTATGAAGGTGTGTGTGCAGTTGAAGATTCCGTGGATGAAATTATAAAGAAACTTCAGGCATTCCGTCCAATTGAAGGTCAACAAAAATATGATTCCGAGGTATATGCGTTCGCCGTAGATGCCTCTTGTTCAATACAGGATTTAGTTCGTGGTCCCCCAATTATGTCGAGCCTGATTCCTATAGAGTTATACATTTTTAAAACAACCATGATGCGCTCTATAAGGAAACTCATCGGCACTCCACGAGATTCGGCCCCTACAGTACCTGTGCAGAACACAACTTTGCAGTACCAGGAATTTGAAAAGGAAATTTTTATAGATCATGTTGGTGTTCCCGATGATGATCGTATTATTGATCCCATAGATGTTGTTCCTGTTACTTTTGCTGATGTTGTTGTTGATGTTTTTGGTGACGATCAATGAGTCCACACTGTCCAAGCAAAATATGCAAGTGATGGTGTCATTTTTTATGGATGCACGGAAACATTTGGGATGTCACAGGTGCTGTCAGGATTTTCTTCGTATTGGTTCTCTGGAGTTGTTTGTTTGGAGTTGTGAATGTTGTGAGCTTGGCCGATTCTTTTGATGCTCCATTCATAAAGGTTTTTGACCCCGGAGGATGTCCGTTCACAACGCATGAGTCCTCGTTTTTTCCAGATTTCCAACTTGAGGACAAGTTGGTTTTCGAGGCGGGGAGAGTGTTACGGGACTTATTATTATTATTATTATTATTATTATTATTATTGTTGTTGTTGTTGTTGTTGTTATTATTATGGTAAGGAATTAATTAGTTTCCTAGTTTATTTAGTTGCCTTTTGTGATTAGGATAGGATTCCTTCAATATGCTAGCTATAAATGTATCACTACCATAGAGCTATTATTCAATCAATAAAGAAATATTTCCCTAAAATTAAACTCTCGCCTCTCCTCTCTAGCCGTGCGGCTCCTCCCTTCTCCCTCATCTCTCTTTTCTTCCCCATCTCTCTTTCTCTCAAATTCTTCATTCTCTTTCCCTAATTTCTCAATCTCTCTTCTCTATTTGATACGATACCGTATCAAATATATATATATATATATATATATATATATATATATATATATATATATATATATTCTTGAGTTGAAATAAGTATTTGATTTAATTTAAGCTTTTAATCTGATTCAACCCAAATGTTTTATGGCCTAGTCCAATGATCACTACTCCTACCTAAATTATATCATGGTATCGAAGCCAGTTTTTGCCAACTTCATTTATTAAAATGTCCGTCTAGAAGTTAATTCCTAAAGACCCATTTATCTTTAGCCCAGTTTCCCATATGGAAAACGGTCTGTGATGGACATAACTCGATTCATCGTCTAGAATTCCATGCCCAGCAACTCGTGGTTCATTAGGTTTGGCACTTTTAATCATTTCATTTCCTAGGGAGGGGGAGCCCATTTGCAACTAGTTAACTGATTGGATTCAAAATGATCTCGTTATCTATTGTTTAAGAGTATCTCATATCAGAACATGAAGAGAAAACAAACAAGTTTACAAGCTCTTGAGTTGAAATAAATAATGGATTGAATTCAATCTTTTAATAGGATTCAATCCAAGCATCTTATCACTTAGTACAGTGTGTTGGCCATGTGTGCAGTAATTGTCTTGTGGCGGAGGCTATATGGGCCTAGTGACAATCGAATATCGTGGGCGCTTGTGTGCTGAATGCAATATAAGGTTAGAGTATGCGCCTCTTCTAACACCAATTGGTTTTAGAAGAGTTGGTAGCGCCTGAGGTCTTACAAGTGGTATCAGAGTCAAGGTCACGAGTTCGATTCCTATCGGGAGCAATTGCTGAGGGGATAATTGTTGGCCATGTGTGCAGCAATTGTCCCGTGGCGGAGGCTATATGGGCCAATCACAATCGAATGTCGTGGGCGCTTGTGTGCTGAATGCATTATAAGGCTAGAGTATGCGCCTCTTCTAATACCAATTGGTTTTAGAAGAGTTGGTAGCGCCTGAGGTCCTACACAATGATCCATATCCCCTTCTAAATTATAACAGTAATTGTAGACTCAAGAAAGGTTTTATATTCTAACTTTTGCAAAGTTAATCTTGAATCATTAAAAAAAGTATACAAAATTTTAACACTATTTGAAAGTGTCATTCATAAATAAAGCCAAAAGAATAGAAGATACTCCCTTCGTCCCTAAATAATTTAACTTTACGCAAAACAAAGTAAAGTACCAAATTTTTTCAATTCATTTTATTTAAAGATTGGTATATAAATAAAAAAGCTTGCATATTAAAAAAAGTACATCAAAATTTCTAAATAATAAGTGATGACAAGAATATTTTATTTTCTCAAATAATCAATTAAAACACACAAACAAACAAAAATTCTCGCAGTTTTTTAATAATAAAGTGAGTAAATCATTTAAGTTGTCAACTTCTCAACATAGATGTTACTCTTGGAAACAGCCTTTGTAACACTCCGTAGTCCGTACTGAAACAAAATTGTCCTTGAACATATTGATAAATACTCCATAACATTTTGAAATAATACTGTAGTACAAAATATTAATCTGTTATGTCAAAATGTTTACGTGACCTCTTGTAAACATTTTTGGGTCATGCTACACTTACACCACAAATTGTACCCCATTTGTACACCGCAGTTATACACAAACATTTTGATGGTTTACACCGACACAAGTATTGGTGCGTTAACACACCTGTTCAGAAATAAAAACATAGAAAGTTGTACTTTTGTCTAAATTTAATGGTTAAGCCCTATTTGGATAGATATCCTTACTCCCTCCGTCCCAAAATTATCGTCCTGTTTCGAACAACGTACAAAATCTCATGTTTTTAAAATTGATTTTACTTACAAATTGATTTAACTTACATATTTAAAAAATACATCAAAAGTTTTACAAAACAAGTGGTGAAATGCTTGTTTTATTTTATCAATGAAAACAAGTATGCAAATAAAATTTATCGAAAGCCTCAAATAGTAAAGAGGACGATTATTTAGGGACCAAAGAAGTAGTATAAACGATTACTCATTTACCCACATTCTAGCTCACTCTATTCGACTCAATCAATCTTCTTTGCAATCCCATGGCATATTAATTATACTGGATTCTCTGTGACAACATCATTGGAGCCTTCCACAACCGTCCTTTGATTTTGAACTCTAATCACAGCCTTCTTAGCCTGCAAATCGTGGAATATTTAGCAGAACTAAAAAAATCACCTTAAATCAACAAGTTGGAAAAATATATGTACTCTAGCTATTGCAAGGATTTCCTACCTCTTGTTCCCAATTCGTGCGAATTGTCAATATAAGAAAACTAATGACTTGTACTGCAAATGCGGATATAACGCCAATCCATAGACCCTGAGAGAAGTAAACGTTGATGTAACTGATCAAACTATGATTATATATTTTGTACGGAGTAGCTAGCTAGGACAACATTCACGGGCCAAAAAAAAAGCATGGTATTTACTTATAATTTTTGTTATTTATTATTTAAAATAATATAGCCATGTCACAACTTGTTTCATGATACCCTTGATATTGTTAATTACTGCTCTGTAAATTTAATTTTAAAATTGTGTACCCTTTTATAAATAAATTGAAAAAGAATTCAGCTGCCTATGATAATGTTGTGTTGTGAGTTTAGTTATAGGAAGAAGGAAGTATATAGATTACACACCTTGCTCTTAAGGTGGAAAACGAATCCAAGAACAACGGCACATGGAACACCTAGTATATAGTATGAACCAAGATTGATTATTGAGCCGATTTTCTGCCATCCACTTCCTCTAGCAATGCCTGAAATTTTGAACAAGAAAATTGATAATGATGAGGTTTGAACAAGAGTATTACCACACTTGATCTGAATTTGGGTGTGCGCTTGTTTGTTATAATGTTTTGAGATGTCTAGAATATGATTACCCGAGAGCACGCTCTGAATTCCATCGAGGAAACTAGCAACTGCAAGTAGTGGCATCATGTTGGCTACGTGTCTTATGACATCCTTTTCTCCGGTATAGACATGGCCCCAGAGGTTGCGCAGTGAAATCATGGCTGTTGCAACAAGAATGCCTTGTGCCAAGACCATGAACATGACCACTTGAGTGGCTAATTTTGCAGCATTGGGTTGGTTTGCTCCGAGTTCATTTGAGACTCGAGTGCTATATTTATATAAACCATTACAATTAATCTAAATACTAGCAATAATTAATATTTCACGGGCATGGATTGCACGATTTTATTACCTGATTGCAGCGCTAAGGCCGAATGGAAGCATCCATACCAAACTAGATGTATTGAGACTAGCAATTAAACAAAGTAGTTATAAGTACAAACCGCATCAAAAAAAACAAAAGTAAAAAAAAAAGATTATGTTCTGCAACTATTAGTACTTCAAACTAAAACAAATAAAGATGTGAATATTACCAAATAGACATCACTGATGTCTCTAACTTGGGATTAAGAAGTAGGCCGCTAAGTATAAGAACAATCTCGAACGTCCAACATTTTAAGCTGCTTACGATGGAGGCAATGAAAAACAGTCACCCATAAGAACGTCTAAAATTAATCGATTTCAAGTGTAGAAAGATTTTTGTAATTGATAAATGTGGAGGTGTATTCAAATCATGTAACGTACCATAGCATACATGTTGAAGGTACCGCAACTTTGAGGAAAGTAGGAATGTTCTGAATGGCTTCTTTGGAAAACCCAGTCCAAGTTTCTCTGATAGACAAAGAGCATTTTATATAGCCAGCCAAGAACACTACGTTGAGCCAGTAGGAAATAGAGGTTGCCAATGCGGCTCCTCTATATCCCAGGGGAGATTTTAAAACTAATGCCCAACATACAACACCGTGGCACAAAGTTGTCACCACGGAGGCGAGCATCATCGGATATACATTATTTTGGGTTTGCAAGAACTTCATGAGACACTGTAGGATGGCGTATGCAAATAAGCTCGGGATCATGTAATACGAATATACCCCTGCTACTCTTGACATCTCATGATCTTGATGCATGACAATTAGAATACGTTCTGTGTTTGCCCATAATGCAGCAATGAGAATACATGCTGACACGAGGACAACCATCGCACGTTGCGTATGTACGCCAACCATATGAAGCTGCTGGGCTCCGAAGGACTGACCACATAGTGTATCCAACGTACTTGCCAATCCCATCTAACATCAATATAATTACTTGTTAAACTTTGAAAAGCATTGAACAAAATAAGTGAATGACGGATTGATTCATGGGAATGCATACCAACACGGTGAAACCTGTGACATACGCAAAAGAAATGGATAGGGAAACGCCGGCAAGGGTTGATTTTCCAAGACGGCCCACAAACATTAGGGACATAACTTGCAACAAGAATTGCAACAAGGCGGCAAAAAAAAGTGGGAAAGCAATCCACAACTGCTTCTTGGCCTCTATCACAAAATCCCTCTTCCAACTCCCTCCCATCATCACAAAATCCCTTAATTTTTCCTTACACGGCGGCAAAGGGTAGAGTGGAAGTACAGTTTTTTCTTTCATTGGTTCATTGTCCATTGTCTTCGATCTGACACTGAAATTTGGCAAGATGTTAAAACAAAAAAAAAGTAGAAAATAAAAAACTGAATGGAACTGAAAATTGGATTCTGGATTTCCATGATGCTGGAAAAGAGAGAAAAAAACATCCATAGGATAAAAACAATATAGTGCAGTACATTTTATTAAAACATGGCTCAGATTCAGAGTCCAAATCATACATCTCCACAAACAAGCAGATTGAGAGAATTCCAGATTCACAAATGAAACACCCATATCAAACAGACCATCTACTTATAAGTTCAAAGTGCAAAACAAAACCTTTAAAAAAAAGTCAAATCTGCAAATTAAACCTCTGCATTAGCTGTACGAACAAAAATCTCTGTGCAAAGAATCTTTAAAACAATACCCAAAGTACTACTTAAAAGATTTTCACATAAGTCATTGCTCATTAAAAACAAAGGAAAAGAAAACAAGAATTAAACTACAACAACGAAAACTATAAAAAAACTTGGGAATGAAGCAAATGGGACGGGTAGGTGGATATGAATGAAAAGAATAGTGAAAATACAGAGTAAATCGAACAAATTTCATAAGCAGACCAAAATTAATTGAAATAATTAAATTTTTTCAAAGAAAGATGAAGGGTGAACCTAGAGGTCAGTGGAAGGTCCAAACAGGGCGTAGCTGCTGGAAAATCAATGGCTTTTGAAGCTAAAATAAAGCTTTTAGGCAAGTGGGCAAATACGCCGGCAGCAATTGCTCCGGAGTTGGGAAATAATAGAAACTGGGGAATCGGAAATTGGAACTGGGGAATCGGCGGGGTCGCAGTCTCACTCCATGGCTCTGTATTTAAACAAAACAAAAAAAAAAAAAAAAAAAAACTTCAACTTTATGGCATAGACGCCTACTACGACCAAATAAAACTCCTTTCTTTTTTTTTCTTTTTAACACTTTTTTTAAATATTGAAAAATAAATAAAAATTACTCCGTATAAATTTGAAATGAATGAGTAAAATAAAGAGAAAAGGATTAAAATAGGGTGAAATAAGAAATTCATATTTTTTATTCCAAAATAAGTGTATAATCACAATATATAGTATCAAAAAAAATATGTTGGTATCATTATACGTTGTCACAAAATCACACTGCAATGCCTCTATACAAAACCATAATACTCCCTCCGTCCTACAATTGATTATAATGTTTATTATTCCAAAATCATGATTTTTTTGTTTGTGTATTTTCATTGATTATTAGAAAATATTCTTATTACATTTTGTTTTGTAAAACTTTTGATGTTGTTTTTAAATAAGTAAGTTTAAATTTTTTATGTCTCAATCTTTAAATAAAATAAATTAAAAAAACTTAAAATTTTTCTTTGTTTTCCGCAGTTTGTAATCAAAATAGGGACAAAAGAAGTCTATAATATAATGTTACTGTAAAAACATGAAATTCTTATTTTGAAAAGAAATACTATGTTTTACTCTTATTCTTATTTCAGATAATTTATTTCGAATAAAAGATAGAGATGGTGGGACTCATACATCAGTCCAAAAGGTGGAATTGCCCACCCCAGACACCCCTACCCCTGGCCCGATAGGGATGGTAAAAAAAGTAAATCATAATAACTCAGTCGGCCAAGAACGCTAGATACGTGCCCGCATACATGATTATGGTGGGGCTCATACATGATGATAGTGGGGATGGGCCACAAACTTTCCGTTCAAACGGCCAAAAGTGGTCCATTTCAGTTATCCGTAAAATGTATATTTTGAGTTAATCAAAACAAAAGGGAAAGCGAAAGGGAATCTTGTTTAATATACTATTTCCTCTATTGAGTCTATTCAATGTGTAAGTTAAAGTAAATGATTCCAATTTTCAATTTGAAGCTTTGAACCCGTGACTTGAGCTCAACAGCTCAACTTAACATAACTATTTTACCTTCGATCAACTGTGAAATTTATGTTTCCTACTTCTTCTAATCACCATTAAATTGAATTCGGCGGTGGTTAAGGAAGACAAGGTGTGTGGCTGGGTACGTTAGGAATGGTAGGAACAATCAATTTTATGATTGAAAATTTAATGGTGATTATATGTGTGAGTGTGTCAGTTGACAAAAAGGTTTAAAATAAATTTTTCAGTTTGCACAATTTAAAAATAAAAAAAATTACATCATTGATCTTTCAATTCAATGAGTTATGTATAATTAGTCATCTAATTATAAAAGTTCAAAAATAATTCTTCAAATCACAATTGATATTGCACATCTTTTTTTTTACAGCCCAGAGTTGAAGCTAAGAACATCAACAATGGCAAGACGAAAATGGAATGTCACACGGTGACATGGAACATTTTAACCAATCAAAAATAGTCCAGTCAGCGTGTGACAAGCAAATGGAGACATGGAGTGGCAAGTCCTACAATGGCAAGTCATTATTTTTATCACTTTTTTTACATTTTTTATGTTTTTTAAACATAAAAAAATATTTTTATTATTTATTTTATTAAAAAATTATTCTACTTTCTTGTACATTTTTTCTCATGAAAAATTTTAAAAAAAATTATTTTTAAAAAAAAGGAAAAAAAGTAGTATGAAGTGTCACACTCATGCCTCACTAAGCAAGGCATTTTGGCATTGTCATGCCATGATATGAGTGGAAGAAGTTGATGTGGCAGTGCAAGACATCTCTCTTCCTTGCCATTGCACATGCTCTAAACCGTGTAGATTCAAAATTGTTGAATTCATTGAATGTGAGTTTTTTTGGGAATCTAAACTGGTGGATGGACGGATAATGAACAAGTTGATACAATTTCATTATTTTCAAGGGACACTACTAGTATTCTTTAAAGAATACTCGTATGTTTTTGTTTGTTTAAATCTGTTTTTCTGTACGGTTTACAACGTTTGACTCGTGTTATTTTTAATTTAATTTATAAAAATCACTTTAAATAGGATTAAAATAAAGAGAAAAATATTAAAATAAAACTTTCATGTTTTTTTTCAAAATAAAACTTTACACTATGGTATTGTGGTTGAAATGTGACATTATACATGTGCACATTACTATACTTTTTGGTAATGTACTTGACCATGTTTGGTAATGTAAATGCATTTTAAGTCTTATTTCGGGAATAAAAATATGGAAGTCCTATTTTGGTTTATTTTTAATGTTTTAGTCCTACTTCGGTCTCTCTCTTTTAATTTATACAAAAATTTGTATAGAATTAAAAAATAATGTTTATGTACTCCCCATTTTTCCCAAAAAAAAGCCCTTGTTTCAAATAATATGTAATATCCTATCTATTTTAAAATAATTGTATTAACAATTTCATATAAAAATACAAAGTATAATTTACATATTTAAAAAGTACATCAAAAATTTTACAAAACAAAGGATGTCAAGAATATTTTATTGTATCAAATGATCATTGAAAAGATAAGCATAAACAAAAAATATCAGAACCTTAGAATACTAATAAATACTCCCTCCGTCTTAAAATCATCTTCTCACTTCCTTTTTTAAAGAAGTGACTTGAGTTTTAGTGTTATTTAGTGCAAATATTTCATTAAGATTTTATAGAATAAAATAAATGGTGAATAATTTAACATGAAAAACCAGAACCAACAAATGAAAATCAACCCAGCTTCATCCTACTAGTATCTGCAGCATCAAGATCCAATTGCTCACTTGTCTCTGACCCTTCATCCATGGAGACATTTTGATATAACTAACGGGAGTTGGATGGAATGTCCGTCCTTGTACGACATTTATTTGAAAATTTGGATATCCTAGGAGTATATTTTGAAAAACATTGGGACCTAATAGTTCTTACAGAAAACTTGGGGTACATGACAGTAATTTTTTGCACTACATGACATGCAATCTCCTTCTTTGCCACACACTGACGGGATAAATTGTTATTGGTTGAAATGTTTCATATTTGCCTCGGATGCAATCTCCTTCTTTGCCACACGCTGACGGGATAAATTGTTATTGGTTGAAATGTTTCATATTTGCCTCGTCAATGTACATGTTCTTAGAAGTCGTTCTGTTATGTTTTCACCATGGATTGTATAAAATACCATATATGCAACGTTAACTTTAACTTAAAGATTATATATTTACAAAATTTTTAGAGTTAAAACTCAAAAGATGAATCATTCATAATTCATTGAGTTAAAGGGCCAACCGTCTAATTTACCCAAAAATAAAAGGAGTTGTTCTTTCATCGTTCTAAAGACCACAAGTGAAATATGAACATTCTCAGACTCTGCATATGTTTATAAGTATATTTTTTTCTTTTTCTATAAAAAAATTCAATTCTTTTATGATATCAATGTACTAGGGGTGGGCATGAAATCCGTTCCCGTTGGACCGTTCCGAAAATTCCCGGTTCCGTTTTGTAATTGTACCGATATATCGGGACACATTTTTTTTATCCCGAACCCGTTCCGTCCCAATATCAAATGGGACATAAGCGGGACAACTAAAATTTATACCGATCCGTCCCGTTTGTCCCGTTTCATCTACTCTACTAATATATAATACTAATTCTAGTCCAAAATCCAAATACACCCATTCCTTAAATAATTAGTTATTTAATTAAGTTAACTTTGTAGGCTTGAAATTTATTTGGACCCGTTCCACTCATTGGTTTTTGTTGGATGGCTACATGTTTCTTTTTTTGAATGAAATGTCACTCTCTCCCACTCCTTATATTTGCGATTAAGGACAAAATAGGACGACCCGAATCCGTCCCGTTTTATTCCGATCCCGAATTTTATGGGACAAATCGGGATAAGGTTGTAATCCGAACCGTTCCGAACCGTTTATATATAACGGGACAAGACGTGGGAAAACCTAAAACCGGACCGTCCCGATCCGTGCCCACCCCTACAATGTACTAAGATCTATCAAGTGAGCATGAATTTTAGAACCACGAAAAATTACGAAATAAAAATTAAGTGCGCCACAAGGATACTAAAACATTCCAAAATGCATCTTAAAAAAGAATTAAAAGTTAAAACACCATGTATCCTAAAAAGTAAAAATTGGAGTAAAACACTTGAACGTCCAACTCAATAACTTTGAAGTGTTATTCTCCAAATAAATAAATGAATAAATAAATAAATAAATAAGTATTTGTAAAAGAGAGATTTTAGCATGCATTTTGCGTAATTGGGTGCAGAGGTTTATTTTATACTCCCTCCGTCCCTAAATAAACTTCCCCTTTCGTTTTTTTTTGTCCCCAAATAAACTTCTTTTTTCCCTTAAAAAACCTCTTTTATCCCTTACTTTTTCATACCCTACCTATCACATCATACCTTTTTACTAATAATCTACCTATCACATCTTACATTTACACATTATATCAAGGGTATTTTTGGAAAGTCACCACAAAAATATTCCTCCCTTAAATTCTCAAAAAGTCAAAAATAGAAGTTTATTTAGGGATGGAGGGAATAGTATCTTTAATTTTATACTCCGTAGAAAGAACTCTGTGCTTTCAAAAAATAGTAAAAACTTTGCGTGTTCCACATTTTAAAAAATGACTAGGGGTGTCTAAAATTCGCAAGTAAATTACTCGTTTGTGATACGGTGCAACTGGTGGACGGGTCAGTAGACGTGCAAGCCGAGGACGATCCGGTCAAGGAGGGTTAAGATGCGGAGGTGGCAGGGACGATTGATGGGGAGATGGGGACGAGCGTAGAAAGGAGCCGGCGAGTTCGAAAGGCTCCAGCGTGGCTTGGGATGGCAATTCAACCCGAACCCGAGCTTAACCGACCCGACCGAGCACTAAAATATCTGAACCCGAATCGAAAATAAAATAATCTGAACCCGACCCGAAATTTTTTACCCAAACTCGACATCGGGTCGGATGTGAGTTTATAATTCTACCCGACCCGACCTGAACCCGCACCCGACCCGACTCAAACCCGAATGTTTAATAACATAAAAGCCTATCTATGGATATAATTAGCACTTCGTATAATCTCTTGACAAAGTGCTACTAAATCAAGTATGGTTTTTTTAATCATTTTTTATAATTCTTAATAAAAAATGAGACACAAAAAAGAGACACAAAAAAATTAGATTTAATCATTTTAAAATTATTGGGTACGTCGAAATTGATTATTGGTTAAAAGTCGGGTTCGGGTCGGGTTTGGGTTTTGGATTGAAATGCCGGGTTCGGGTCGGGTCGGGTTTTTGACTTAAAATGTCGGGTTTCGGGTCAGGTTCGGGTTTCAGTTTTAAAAGTCGGGTCGGGTTCGAGTATAGTACTATCCGACCCGAACCCAACCCATTGTCATCCCTATTATATTATATTTTAATTATTATTATCGTTTTAATTACTCTAATAGTGTTTTTTAGCGGTGTCACTGCGTTTTTATAACACTTTCGGTGCTCCATTCGCAAAATGATGTTTCCTACCCTCCCCCTGACCAACCCCCTCACTCCAATCCCACCTCAGTCCTGCCCTAAGTCCCCCTCCAAATGTGTGATTATTATGCAATGCAATCAAATAAATTGCATGTCGGCCAAATAAATAAGCAGACCCAAGTAAACTCTCCTTGTTTCGAAGTGAGAAAAGTTAGGCGGGAAATCTAATCTATGCAAAATTGCTTGATTACATCAAATTGTATATCAAGTTATATATCGTCCCTCGTCCAACCATATATTTCAAGTTCGGGATTTAATTTTTAGATCTGGATAAGAAATATATGGTGACATTTAACAACTTGAGGTACAATATGATATATAGCTCCTAACATTATTACTCTCAATTTCTTTTTGAAAACATTACTCACTCAATACATATATTCATTTTGGCAATGCTAAGAGTACACCAACAAAGGGTACCTCATTTGTACACCAGACTAACACAGACACACAAATACAATATGTCTGCAGTACAGACATTTTGTGTATGTGTTATCTTGGTGTACCCCTAGGGTAATTCATTCATTTTACCTCAGGTTGGCACTTTGCTCAAAGGATGCAAGATGCAGTTAAGTTTCTAGCGTTGGTACGCATTTGGTGCATTCCAAAGATGGCATACATCGGTATCATGGTCCCCTCATGACCATCGGATCCCATTAATATATTACCATTGATATCAAATTAAATTTACTTTTGGAAATAGCCTTTGATATATTTGTCCTTGGACATTTAGATAAAAAAAAACATTTTGAAATGATGCAAAATATTATACGGTTATTTCAAAATATTTTTGATAAAGATTGTTCACATGAGATCACATACTAATGCAAAATAAAAGTCGGTAGCTAAAATGAGAACTACCTAACTATAATTAAAACATGCTCCATATATCGATCAAAATAAATCTTTAAATGTTTTTATACTAAAAAAACATATAATGCCAAAAAGTGCCAATGTATTCTGTAAAAAACATTGTGAAATATTCACATATGGTCTTAAAGTTATGGTCCTCTTTCGAACAACGTGCAACATTTCATCTTTTTTATATTGATTTTGTTTACAAATTAGAAAAATTTACATATTTAAAAACTACATCAAAAGTTCTACAAAACAAGTAATGACATGCTTATTTTATTTTTAATTATCAAACGGCCAATGAAAATACATACACAAACAATCAAATCCGTGGTAGTAAAGAGGAAGATAATTTTGAGACGAATGGAGTACTACAAAAGATTAATAATTTACGCATATGCTAGCTCACTCTGTTCGATTCAATCAATTTCTTTGCAATCCTACGGCATATCCTATGACAACATCATTGGAGCCTTCCACAACAACCCTTTGGTTTTGAACTCTAATCACAACCTTTTAAGACCTGCAAATAGTGAATATATTTAGCAAAAAAATAAAGTCATCTTAAAACATGTGAAGAAAGTCGCCTTTTTGGGATACTAATAGTGATTAGAAACTCGCCTTTTTGGATTACTATTAGTGGAAAGAAAAACATTTTTGTTGCAATTAATCACTATTAGTATCCCAAAACATTTTAAAATCTTGAGTATTACCAAATGGACATTACTGATGTCTTCAACTTTGGGCTTGGAAGCAGGCCGCTAAGTACAACAACAATATGGAAGACCCAGAACTTTAAACTGTTTATGGAGGCAAGAGGAAAAAAAGTTATTCAAAACCAGTTTCCGTCCATAGATAATAAAATTAAATGAATTAATTTAACTGTTGAAAGATTAATGAAGAAGTTCGGTGGTGAACTCAAATGATCATGTGACGTACCATAGTATGAGGGTTGAAGGCACATCTTTAGGGAAAGCTAGGTTATTTTGTATAGCCAAACAAAAGCATGAGCCACTAGGAAATAGAGGTTGCCAATGCGGCTCCTCTATACCCCAGGCCTGATTTCAAAACCAGCGCCCAACACGGAACACCATGGCACAGGGTAGTCACAAGAGACAAAATCATCATCGCATAAACAATATTTTGAGTTTGCAAAAATTTCACAAGACATTGTAGGATTGCATATGCAAATACCCTAGTGATCATGTAATATGAATACATCCTGGCTACTCTGCACATTTCAGAATTTTGATGCATGGCAAGGATGATGTGTTTTGTGTTTCCCCATATCAACGCAATAAAAACACACGCAGACAAGAGGATGGTTAGTGCAAGTTGCAAATAGACACCCATCATACGAAGCTGTTGGACTACAAATGCTTGGTTACATAGCCGCCGCCGGTCACCGCTGGTTGTCACTACTGCGTTCGGAGCTCAGCAGCTTCGTATGGTGGGTGTGTATTTGCAACGTGCACTTACCATCCTCTTGTCTGCTCGTGTTTTTATTGCGTTAATATGGGGAAACACAAAACACATCATCCTTGCCATGCATCAAGATTCTGAGATGTGCAGAGTAGCCGGGATGCATTCTTATTACATGATCACTGGGGTATTCGCATATGCAATCCTTCAATGTCTTGTGAAGTTTTTGCAAACTCAAAACATTGTTTATGCGATGATGATCCTCTCCCTTGTGACTACCCTCTGTCATGGTGTTCTGTGTTGGGCGCTGGTTTTGAAATCAAGCCTGGGGTATAGAGACATGACCCCAAAGGGTGCGCAATGATACCCCAAAGGCCGTGATCATCACCACTTTTCTGGCTAGTTTTGTAGCGTTGGACTGGTTTGCTCCAAGCTCATTTGAAACTCCGGTACTGTACTCACATACACAATTTACTATTAATCCGTACTATTTTCTTACAGGTACTCTTAATACTATTAATAATTACGGATATAATGAAAATAACCATACCAAACCAGAGGCCAAAAGGATAGCAGTATATACCTGATTGCCGCACTAAGGCCAAAGGGAAACAGCCATACCAAACCAGAAGTGTTCATACTAAAAAATAAACATAGTAATAATTAGTGGAAATTAAAGATAAATATTTATGTTGTGCAACTAATCACTATTAGGATACCAAAAAATACGAAAAACTTGAATGTTTTACCAAATGGACATCACAGTTGACTCCAACTTCGGATCAGGAAGTAGGCCTCTGTGTACAACTACAATTCGGAACGCCCAAAACTTTGCAGCATTGGGTTTGTTTGCTCCTGCAATGGTGATTACGCCGGAAAGGGGACAGGGGAGAGTGGCCGGGTGGGGGTGTAGGGAGTGGTTCGGAAAGTAGGAATCGTACGAATGGAGTACTGTAGATGCACCAATTGAACCGGTCGCCAATTGACACCGATTGGAGTGGTGTCAATTTAGAGGTACTCATAGATAAAACGCAGAACAAATGGATCTATGCTAAAAGAGAAGAGCAGTTTCAAACCTCAGGAACCGAGGAAGTCTGAAACTCACACGGGTACTGAAGCATTCTAGCGGAGGTTGGAGAAGATGGTCTCAGTAGATGGATGGTCTGGCGGATTGGGCGAATCTGATATCCTATCCGGCCTATGTTGTGTGTGTGGATGAAAAGATTGGTAGGATTGCGGATAGCCGGATACGGAGTACTCCAATTATATATCCGTCAGTTTCTAAGACCAGACCTTAATATTCGAGAAAATGCACGAATTACCCCCGAACTTCTTCAAAAGTGCACAATTTACCCCTAAAGTTTTAAAAGTGCAGCAATCACCCCTCTAATATGGAAATCGTTGCACACTTGCCCTCTTTTCTTTTTTTTTTTTGTAGAAATTAATTGTAAAAAGTAATTTTAAATACTAAATTACCCCTCCCTTCATATATGCTCAGTACACACAAGCTACCCAATTTCAACTCGATCGAACCACACGACTTCTCAAGCAAAATCCAGTGGCAGTGGTAATTTGTTTTGCTATTTTTTTCTTTTAATTTTATGAAATATGTTAGTTGATTCAAGTTTTGGTTTTGTTCATATAAAACTCTTAAACTTTGTTCAAGTTTGGGTTCAATTGAAATCTGTTTTGTTGCAGTTTGGATATTGTTAGAGTTAGGGTTTTGTTCTATTAAAGTTTGGGTCTGGTTCATATAGTATGTGCTTAATTGCAGAATGGAAGATGGAAAAATTGATTTGTTTATGTGGCATGGTGGTAAGTTTGTGGATGAACCTGTCTTATGCTATGTTGGTGGTAAAAAACATTAATTTACAGAGATTGATATAGACCTAATGAGTCCATTTGAGCTGAAATACTTGTATGAGGGAATTGAGGGCAATATTATTCCTGTTAGTTTCTTCTTCAATGCTCCGGAGAAGAAGCCGTCAGATGGGTTAATGGAGATTAAATGTGACTCAGATATGTCCGAACTCCGAAGAAATGCCAGATCGAAAATAGATTGAGAAGGGGACTTTGGATGAAGCCAGAATATGAATCAGGGGAGGTTATTTTTGAGAATTCCAAAGGCCCTGTGCAAATCACAGTCGCAATTCCGGTGCGTGGGAGAAACGCACGTCTGATCTACGATTAGAGGACCACAGCTGCAACGATTTCCATATTAGAGGGGTGATTGCTGCACTTTTAAAACTTTAGGGGTAAATCGTGCACTTTTGAAGAAGTTCGGGGGTAATCCGTGCACTTTTCTCCTTAATATTCAGTCCGGTTCTGTCAATGTTTTTGTCCTACAAAGAGATTTCGAGTACTCCCTCCGTCCGCCAAAGATCTTCTCATTGCGCGTTACGAGGTTTGACTGACTTTATTTTCAATTCAATTTGTTTGATTTTAAGGATAAAATTTAAAAATAAAAATTACATGGTAAAAAAGTACGTGAAAAATTCTACAAAATTACAGGTGACAAGTTTATTTTATGAAATGAGTAGTAAAAATAAGCAAACAAAGTGAGCTAAGTTTGACCATGTGAATAGTGTCTGGGAAGATCTATGGTGGACAGATGGAGTATTACCCAAGGATTTGTACTCTAGAGTACATCGTAGGGTGCACTAACATTTTGTGTTTGTGTAATGTTAATTTTTTTAACGCACCAGTACTTTATGTTAATGTAAATTTTTGTTAAGGCACCAACACTTTGTGTCAATATGAACCATCAAAATGTTGATGCATATATTTGGTATACAAATGGAGTACAAATTTTGAGATACATGTAGCATGCTCATTTCGAGTAACCCTTATATAATTGGTGAGGTGTTTATTTTACGGGTGTCGGGTCGGTTTGGATGGATTTTTTTTCCTTTCAAACCGATTTACAAATTTAATTGCTTGGGAGTGAATGTGTTCGCCCCAAAACACTATTGAATCGTGAGATTTGGGCCAAATATTGGGTCGAACTCCGCGGGTTGCAAGCGATTCAATTTTTTTGGCCACCCGTAAAGATAAATATTATCCACTATCTCTTTGAATAGTGTTTCGATTTAATTTCTCACGGTCTTTAATGTGAAACTTTGACCAATTTTATATATTTTATGTGTTTATAAATTTTATTAGAATGAAATACTTCCAAAATACATTACATGATAATCTGATAATGTTAAATCGTTGGGGTTCAAGTGACACTCACTTTGGTGACACTCCGGTGCCACTGTCATTTTAGGGCACTTCCGGTGCTCCGTTCGTAAAATTGACGATTCTTACCCCCAAAATGCATCCTCTAAAACCCCAACTCCACCCCCGTCCCTGCACCCTCAACCCCACCGTAAACCTCTACAAAATGTGTGGCTATTATGCATAATAGCCACACATTTTGTGGGGGGGGAGGGGCTTACAGCGGGGTCGGGATGGGGTGCGGGGGCGGGGATAGGGTGGGGGTTTAGGAGGTGCATTATGGGGGGTAAGAACCGTTAATTTTACGAACGGAGCACCGGAAATGTCCCAAAATGACAGTTGCATCAGAGTGTCACCCAACCAAAATGTTAACAAATGACCATTTGTGGAAATGAATATAATAATTTAGACTAAATTAGTAAAATTTAATATGTAAGGACTAAATTTGTAAAATGACCTATAACAGGAGACCTTTTATAAAATTTACTCAATCTTTTTTGTTTAGTTAAAATGATCAATAAAATGAATAAATTAAGTTCTAAGAATAAGTGAAACATAAAAAGATAACAATTCACCAAAAATAAAATGAATCCAAAAAAAGAAAGAAAAAAGGGGTGAAAGAAAAAAAAGAAAAAGGGGCTAAAGAAGAAGAAAAGTAAAGGAGTAGGAGTAGGGGGAAATAAAAAAATGAGGTAAAGTTGAAAAGTTTAAAATGTACTCCCTCTGATGCAAAAAAACATTTCATGTTTTTATTTTTTTAGTTAAATAGTGACACTCTTTGATCACAAATTATATATAACTTAAATAAATAAAGGTTATAAAAATTGATGTATCGAAACTATATTCTAAGTCTAATTTTGTTTAGTTTATACTCCTTCCGTCCTAGTGTGTTTGTCTTGTTTGACTTTTTCAAGTCAAATTGGACAAAATTTGAGATTTAATTAAATAAAAACTGTAATGTATTTTAACATAAAATTGACTTTTTTGGATTAATCGTATTGAGAATTTTCAAAATTGCATTTCATTATACTAATATGCAATATAAATTGAGAGTAATTGAAGTTCAAAGTTTGTGAGTTCAAAGTTTGTGCAATTTGACTAGAAAAAGTCAAATTTGACAAATACACTCGGACGGAGGTAGTATTATACTTCAATATAGTTTCTCTCATAATTTATGATCAAAGACTATCACTGTTTGATTAAAAAAGTCATAACATGAAAGATTTTGAAGCCCAAGTGTTTTTAAAATTGTACTAATACATTATATTTAGAGTAAATTTCATAATTAGTTCTTTATAACACGAAGTTTTCTGATTTAGTCTTCTATTATCAAATATTATCAATGTTCTCCTTTTATTTTAGGTATCTTTTCACAAATATTATTTTATCGATCTTCTGTCATGTTAGAGTTAATTTGAAGGCAAAAGTTTAATTTTATAATGACAATATATTTTTATTATCAAACATAATTTCAAAAGCCGCTCTTGACATGTCGTTTGTGAATTATAGTCATTTTCTACTACAATCATAGTCTATATTGAGTTTTTCGTTGGAATGCTAGTCCACAGTCATAGTCATTATTATTCTGTTGAATGTCAAACTGACATCAGAATATATCACTGAATATAGGGTTGATATTCAATTACATTTATGGCCCTCAAATTAGCACCAACATGACAGAAAATAAACAAAAACTATTTATATAAAAGTATCCATAAAAAAAGGGCTACTACGGAAATATTTGATACTACACTAGATGACTAAATATGGAAAACCATATATTATAAGGGACTAATTATATAATTTACTCTTATATTCATTACTAATGAAATGTTTGATTTAAGTATCTAAATTAAATAAAAAATACTATACAAGTAATATTATACAAATATTTCTCCCATCTCAAACTAATTGTCTCATTTTCTTTTTCAGTTAGTCTCAAAAAATTATGATGTATCTCACTTATTTATTTTCTAATATAGTAAAAAAGACATGATCCATAATTTTTCTTATTTTCTAAATAAATTTTACGACAAGACATTGGTGCTCTAAATGATAAATTTCGGAGCTCCTCTAGTGCTCTATATACCCGACCTTTTTTACCCCCAAGGTCATGTTCTCTTCACTTGATTTGATTGGTCTGATCTGAAAATAATTATATTTAAAGTTATTTCTGATCTGATAATTCCAATATACTCCGTAAATAATTAATAACTAAATAACAAGTTAAGGAGAACATGTTCTTCACCCGTTCACCCCACATCGTGTGTTAAAAACCGAAAGTCCTAGCCTCTCACATTTTTAAAAACCGAAAGTCCTAGCCTCTCACATTTTAACCGAAATTCTATAATTGGTCCTTTATAACAGGGGGTTTCCCTATTTAGTCCTCTATTATCAAATATTACCTAAGTGGTCATTTTTTTATGGGTACCTTTCCACAATAGTCCTTTTTTTGATCTTCTATCATGTTGGTGTTAATTTGAGGGCTAAAAGTGTAATTTCACAATGATAATATATTATTTTTTGTCATACACAATTCCAAAGGCTGTTCCGTTTGCGTCGTTTGTGAATTACAGTCGCTTTTTTCGACAACTATAGTCTACAAATGAGATCTTTCGTTAGAATCCTAGCCCACAATCATAGTCATTATTTTTGTGTTATCCGCTTAACCAATATCAGAACACGTCACTAGACATAAAGTTGACGTCAAATTATACTTTTAGCCTTTAAATTAACACCAACACGGCAGAAGATAAAAAAAAGGACCATTTGTGGAAAGATGCCCTTAAAAAAAGGACTACGGGGGTAATATTTGATAATAGAGGACTAAATATGGAAACCCCCTTTTATAAAGGATCAATTATAGAATTTACTCTTTTTAAAATTTACAAATTGTCGATGTAGAATTTGAGGAGGTTCTTAAGATCTCTGTTAGCTTATTCGGATACGTGTATAATACGTTTATTCGTACGTTCGTGTATAATACGGGTCACATTTTAAAATTACGTCTTATTATACACTTTATACGTTCGGGGTACGTATACGGATACGTTCGTGTTTTATACGTTTGATTTTTGAAAAATACGGCTTATAGTTAGTACAAATATTTTTAGTAAGAAAGACATTTTTGTCATTGAATTTGAATACAAATACACCATAAATAATCTTTTACGCAAATAATGTTGTTGCTTACTACTCCCTCCGTCTCCAAATAAACTTTCCCTTTAGTTTTTTCTTTGTCCCCAAATAAACTTCTCTTTTCCCTTAAAAAACCTCTTTTGCCTCTTACTTTTTCATACCCTACTTATCGCATTATACCTTTTTACTACTCCGTAATAATCTACATATCACATCATACTTTTACACATCACATCAAGGGTATTTTTGGAAAGTCAACACAAAAATGTCACTCTCTTAAATCCTCAAAAAGTCAAAAAGGAAAATTTATTTGGGGACGGAGTGAGTATTTTTTAGAGGACTAGAAGTGTTGGACTCCCAACCAGATGTAGTTGAAGAAACTGGTAGACCATGAATGAGATTTAATTAACAAAAGACGTTGGTGAATTACTTGGACCTGCATTCTTGTTCTAATACTTTTACAATTGTTGCGTCGACAAATTTTGAAGATTTGTATTTTTGGGAAGAAGACAATCAAGTAAATTGATTAGATAAAAATTTGACCTTCTAAATTTTGATTATTAGAATCGAAAGAAGAAATTTTTTACGATTTAATACGTATAAAATTCGTAAATACATTTAGGGTAAAAAATACGTGTATTATACGTTTGTTACTTGAAAAATTCGTATTCGCGAGTATAATACGCGTATTATACGTACGGGTGTATAATAAGCGTATTATACGCGAATAAGCTAACAGAGCTTACGATAATAAGATCTACTCCGTATATCTTTTTTTTAGAATTTGATGTAGAATTTGAAGAAGAGGGGGAAGGGAGATGAAACGGAGAAGACTAGCAAATTTGAAGAGGACGCCCCAGGAAAAAAGACATGGCAGAAGTGACAGATGAGGAACGGATAAGGCCAAGCCGCTAATACTTTTTCTCGATGAACCTATGCAGTACTTGTGCTACCCTTCTCTGCTCATGGATGCATTCAGATTCTGCCGCCATCCGTGAACTTCCCACTTCGCAGCAGCCGGCGGCTTTGTTCCCCTACTTTCACTGTGTTCATCAGCAAGATTCTCTACTTCACCTGGATCTCATCCTATGACGACCAGCAACTTCATCAATTATTTACAAAGTATGATTTAAGGTTCCAATCTCAACCCAAGGTTACATTTTATACCGCTCTTAATAAAAATCTACACAAAGTGTAAATTTTCCTAAATTGATTTCATGTATTTGTAGCATTAGCAAAAAAGTTCACGAATGTTTATCTTCGAGTCTTTAAACATTTTTCGAGTTTGAATACTAGGGAGTATTAAATTATTGATGGCTCTATAAATTAATGTGTAAAAGTGTTAGTAGTTCATATTCTTAATAATTTTAAAAGATTAATCTAACTACTACGGAGTATATGATAAAATGAACAGTATTCCCGCTCAAAATTTTGGCCGGGTCACTGACAAAGGGGCCTAACGGGTGGAGAGCCTGGAAAATGAGGCGAGTAGAAAGCTTACGCCTAACGGGTGGAGAGCCTGTGAACTTGGAGCAAACCAGCCCAATGCTGCATTACTCGCCACTAAAGTGGTTATGTTCATGGCCATTGCACAAGGGTTTCTGATCGCTGCAATCACGGTTTCGTTGCGTAGCCTTTGGGGGCATGTGTATACGAAAGATATAGACGTAATCAGACGCATAGCCTCGTTGATGCCGGTCCTTGCTCTGTCCAGTTTCTGGGATGGTATCCAAAGCGTGCTCTCAGGTAATCATCATATATACACACCCAAAAAGCACACACATATAGATGGAGCATAGTTTCTTGTTCAAAATTCATCCTAATCACTTTTGCTTGTTCCAAATTTCAGGCATAGCTAGAGGGAGTGGGTGGCAAAAAAGTGGTTCAGTGATCAACTTTGCTGCATACTACATACTTGGCATTCCCTTAGCAATTGTCCTTGGATTTGTTTTGCATCTCAAAAGCATGGTACTTAATTAATGTACATACCTTTTAAAGCTTTTGGTAGATAACTTGTATTTACTCCTTAACAACATCAGAGACTACTGCTTTAATTTCTACTTTAATTTCAGGGTCTATGGCTTGGCCTCATCTCTGCATTGGCAGTACAAGCTATTAACTTTACTATATTGACAATGCGCACGAATTGGGAACACGAGGTACGTAATCCGTGAAATCGACTGTCTACCTATAATTTTGCAACTTGTTGTTCCAAGGATATTTTTTTATGTATATATATTTTCTTTATATTCCACAATTCACAGGCTATGCAGGCTGCAATTAGAATCCAAAAACAAATGATTGTCACGGAAGGCTCCAGGGATGTTGTAGAAGCTCTAGAAAGAGAAAAGGCTTAGGCACTTGAAGGTATATACTAATTGTTTTAACACTTTGAGGATTTGTTTTAAAGAAAAACACCTTGTGACTTAGAGTTTAGGAAGAAAACTAGTTGCGGTATAATATGGAGTAGAACAATTTGGGTTGTGCTCTTAAGCCGTAACATTATATTTTTCATCGAAGGTTCTTTGATTCCCTTTGACTTGGTATGGTTATTTCCATTACATAGTAGTAATTATTAATAGTATTAAGAGTACCTTTAAGAAAATAGTACGGATTGATTGTAAATTGTGTTTGTGTCAGTACAGTACCCGAGTTTCAAATGAACTTGGAGCAAACCAGCCCAACGCCGCATTACTAGCCATACAAGAAATTATGGTAGCTGTAATCTTGGTTTCGTTGCGCAGCCTTTGGAGTCATGTCTTTACGAAAGATACAGATGTAATCAGACGCATAGCCTCGTTGATGCCACTCCTTGCACTGTCCAATTTCCTTAATGGTATCCAAAGCGTGCTCTCAGGTAATCATATTCCTTACATCACAAAACTTTCTATCAAACAAGTGCGTACATAAATTAGACAAGTGTAGTTGGTTTCCTATCATTATTAGCTTTCTTGTTTAAAATTTCAGGCATTGCTAGAGGAAGTGGATGGCAAAAAATCGGCTCAATAATCAATTTTGGTTCATACTATATACTAGGTGTTCCATGTACGGTTGTTCTTGGTTTTGTTTTACACCTAAGGAGGAAGGTGTGTAATCTATATACATTTCTTCAGTTTTTTCCTATAGCTAAAGTCTTAAGTCACAACACAGATTACAATGGGTAACTGAATTTATTTTCAATTTATTTAAATAATGGTACAAAATATATAATCATGGATTGATCAGTAACATCAGCGTTTACTACTCTCAGGGTCTATGACTTGGTGTTGTATCTGCATTTGCAGTACAAGTCATTAGTTTTCTTATATAGACAATTCACACTAATTGGGAATAAGAGGTAGGTAATCCTTGCAATATAGAGTACCTATAATTTTGCAACTTTTTGTTTTAAGGTGATTTTATATTACTACGTAGTACTAAATGTTTTATGCTTTGCAGGCTAAGAAGGCTGTCATTTGAGCTCAAAACCAAAGGGTTGTGGAAGGCTCAAATGATGTTCTCATAGAGAATCTAGTTTCATTAGTATGTCATAAGATTGCAAAGAAGATTGATTGAATCGAACAGAGTGAGCTAGTATATGCGTGAATGAGTAATATTTTATACTTCGCATTAAATAAAATAAGCACGTCATCCTTTGTTTTGTAGAACTTTTGATGTAGTTTTTAAATGTGTAAGTATATCACTTATAAACAAAATCAGTGTAAAAAAAGATTTTGCAAAAAGAATAGGATAATTTAGATGCAGATGGAGTCAAAAATAGGGCTTAAACATTAAAGGTGTGCATTGACTTCCTATATTTTTATATCTAAATAGGAGCATTAGCATTGATCGTTGACATAATTTGGAATTGTATATTAAAATTTCACCATGTTTTGACAATATAAGTTGATATTCTTTATTATTATAGGTTCTATTGTAATATAAGAACATTGAAAGCCTTGTTTGTTAAATATATAGGTTCTGTTTTAGTATTCATTTTATACTATCTACTCTGATTTCCCATTAATATGGGACCTCTTGGAAAGACTTTTGAGCTAAAATATTTTAAAATAACACTTTCACTATTTTGTATTATTTCAAAATGTTTTTTTTTAATCAAAATGTCCAAAGACAATTTTGTTACTCCGTATATATCATCAAAGGCTATATCCACGCGTGACATTTAAGTTGGTGTCACTTAATCATCACAATATTGAAAATATTTTCATGGGATCTGATGGTCATTTGCATGAGGGAACCATTAAGTATGTGTTTGCCTTGATGCAATTTTAGTACATCGATGTTAAATTAATAAATACTTCGTAAATTTTATACTCCGTATATTTTCAATTTTCATAAGAAATTCTGTGTGGTAGAAGTGACTTAACTATTTTATTCTAATAAATAATTAAAGTAAACAAATAAGAAAAATTATAATTTGACAATGTAAATAATAAAATATGAAATATATGGGAAGAACAGTTCATAAAAAAATCCATGACAAAACATATCCTATCCTATATCCTATATCCTTTATATCTTATATTTGGGAGTTTAACTCCCTGAATTTTGACATTTGTCATGCTGACGAGGATTTTTTTGACACTTCATAAGTCATGTCATCATATTGGACTTACTCAATATTTCAAACGGGTTGGATAATGATTCATTACTTTGGGCTTCTTTTATTTGGGTTACTCTGTGTGGAATTCATCCGCAAGTCTGAATGAAGCGAGACATCAGCGTAGGGCTGTGCATTATTCGGTCCAAACCCGGACCGACCCGAAGACCGGCTAAAACCGGACCGGACCGGTCCGAACCGGTCCTAATTCGGTCCGGTCTCCGGTCCAACAATTTCCGTTATCCGGGTTCCGGTCCGGTCCGGTCCAAACCCGGTGAGACCGGTGGACCGAATATATGGGCTTATATTTTATTATTTTTTAGTATATGGGCTTAAGTACCATACACAAACCCATTAGTCCATTACCCAAAATCCCAAATTAAGGAATCCAGTCAATCCACCTCCTACACAACCCTATCCAATACTCCCAATAGCAAATCCACAGTCCACACACGCCATAGAACACAACTCCACTTTTCTCGCCTGCAAAAGAAATACTTCGTATCAAACACAACCCATTCATCCGAATAGTCTGACAAAACGCAGGGCTTTCTCATCGGCATAGCCACAGCGCCACTGGAAAACTTCTGATGGAAGAAGATTAGATTTTTTGGAGACACGCTGGTGAAGGGCTTTCTCATCGGCAGTCGGCACGCAGTCGTCCACTCGGCATATTCTCCCTTATTCGGTCCTTATTCGGGCCGGTCCGGACCAGTCCACTTTTTTTCGGTCCGGTCCCGGTCCGGTCTTACACTTTATTGGTCCGGTCTACGGTCCATTACTTTGCTCTTATTCGGTCCCGGTCCGGTCCGAGTCGGTCTGGGTTTGGACCGATGCACAGCCCTACATCAGCGGCACTTTCCTTCGATTGCACCTCCCTGCGATATTCATCTTCAAATTGCTCCACCGCGAGATTTTAGAGAATATGTGATTGGAATTCATCTCTTTCCTTCTTCACGGTTCTTCTTCATGGAGATTCCAACGATCGGTACCAAGAATAGGTAACTTTCCCTTTTTTTAAAAAAATCATAATTGTTTTTGGGATGATTGGTCTTCTTTCCTTCTTATGATGATTAGTCTGTGCGAAATTTGTTCTTCTTTCGAATCTTCCGGTTCAAATCTCTAGATTTTCTACCCTTATTGCTGTGAGTTTTCTTTTTGCGATTTATATTAGGTCATATATAAATCAAATTTTAAGTTGGATAGAGACACGCAAGATTTTTCTGATAGAGACACGCAAGATTTTTCTGATTGGATAATCAAAGTTGGAGATGGAAAGCTTGGACAAGTGATTGATGGAACTACTGACGTTGAAATTCCTCTCGAATTTTTGATTATAGATAACAGCTCACCCCACAAAAGTATAGTGGACTTTACTTATCCGAACTTATTGGAGAATATGAGAAGTTATTCTTTTTTTGAAGACATGGCACTACTAGCACCCACGCTCGAAGTTGTAGAAATGGTAAATGAATTTGTATCCCTCATTCCCGGAGATGAAATGGTGTACTTGAGTTCTGATTCATCATGCCAAGCAGATTCAAATGTAGGTGTTGATGGCGACTGGATAACAGTTGAGTTTTTGAATGAAATCAAATGTTTGGGAATCCCAAACCACAAGATAGTTTTAAAAAAAGGGGTACCAATTATGTTACTGAGGAACATTGACCAAACATCTGGATTGTGTAATGGTACAATATTAATTGTTGACGAGATGTGAAAGACTATTATTGGTGCTATTGTGGTTTCGGGAAATCGAGTGGCCGAAAAAGTTTACATACCCCGGATGAATTTGGTACCGTCTGATCCAGGACTACCTCTAAAGTTCTAGAGAAGACATTTCCAGTAGTCTTATGTTTTGCTATGACTATTAACAAAAGTCAAGGTCAAACATTGTCATTTGTTGGATTATTTTTAACCAAGTCAGTGTTCACTCATTGTCAGCTTTATGTTGTTGTTTCGCGAGTGAAGACAAAGACAAGATTAAAAATATTAGTATTAGATGACAATGGAAATCCTTGCAGCCATACAAAAAATGTTGTATACCTTGAAATCTTTCAAAAAATTTAGTATTAAAGCAAACTTTGTTGTGTGTAGATTAAATTCCTCAAATATTATTCTTTTTACTTTGCCTTACTTTTCTGTGTTATTATAAATCATGCATGAGGTATATTTCCTTTATTCCGGGAAAAAATATTGCATTGAATAAATTCAGAATTGACAAGATATTCGTCCGAACCCGTGCATTGCACGGGTAGGAATACTAGTATATATGTAAAAGAGAGTTCCAAAGTTGTGGTAACGACACGTGTCACGCCACGCGTGCATACTACTGACATGTGTCACGCCACATGCATCCATGCATACATAGTTAATTTTGTATTAAATAATCCTTATTTTTATTTTTTTATAAACTCTTCACTTTCCAACAATAAAAAACCATTATTTTTATTAACTTTTTATAAACTTTTCACTTTCTGACTATGTTAAAAAAATTCATTGTTTTAACATATATTAAAAATATGCACAACTATTTTATAATTTCAAAAAATATAAAAATTATTAATTAAAAAAATGTTGTTTATAATTTTTAAAATTATCCATCATCTCAAAAAAACTATTATATACTCTCTTCGTGCCGGAGTATTCATCCAGTTTTGACTTTTGGAACTGTTCATCTAAGCACTTTGACTCATCAAATTCTCTCAATGTGTAAGCCTAAATATAGTCATGTGTGATCTTGTTTGATTTGTCTTAACATATAGATTATTAATATATAATTTCTATAATGTTTTAATATACAAATTATAAGATAAAATGGATTAAAGAAGTGTATTGGATGGTGTGTAAAAATAAAAGTGAACAAATACTCTGGGACGGAGGTAGTATAAATTTTATCATACGTGCATCTTTATTAACTTAATAACATATTTTAGTTGTTTTTTCTTATTACATTACTTATTTTATTATATATTTTTAAGCAAACTAAACAAACTAAAAGTTTAATTGAAGGATGACATTTGGCACATACAAATATGCATTATCTAATGATGTGTCATTCCTTAATTCATATATTTGAGATTTTTATTTTAATTTTTATTAATTAAAACAATTTTCAAAGATTGTTTGAAAATCACATATAAAATTAGATTCTTGATTTATATTTGCAAAGGAAATTCCACTACCTATAAAAATACCTATAGAAAATTCTATTTTGCATACAACACACGCATACATCCCAAGCCCGTGCGAAGCACGGGGTAGACCACTAGTACTAGTCTATAGTGTGCTCCATGCCTCCATCCTATTTATATTACTGAGCAATAATAAAAGTAATTTGGTACACAAAACTTCACCCGCAAATAAATTCAAATGACAATAAATCATTAAAGAAAAAATTACATTCAGTAAGAAAAGAACATTGAATTAAAAAATACTCCCTCCGTCTCGAAGTATTCGTCCAAGTGTAAGCCTAAATATAGTCATGTGTAAGCCTAAATATAGTCATGTGTGATCTTGTTTGATTTGTCTTAACATATAGATTATTAATATATAATTTCTATAATTTTTAATATACAAATTACAAGATAAAATGGATTAAAGAAGTGCATTGGATGGTGTGTAAAAATGAAAGTGGACAAATACTCTGGGACGGAGGTAGTACATTAATTAAAAAACCAAAGCAAATTATATGTCAGTTACCATTATTTCCAGCTCCTCCTTCTCTTGCCTTCGTTTCTCTCTCTCTTCTTCCCTAGTATTGAACACTCGAACTTGTTCAACCATTGCCTTTGTTTCTCCCATTGTGTAAAACCTGAGGCAATGAATTTTGCCTTCTTTCTTTCGATCGGCCATAAAATGAGGTTCTCATCATCGGAGTCGTTTAGGTTGAAGCGGCTTTTGTTCTGACGAGCCGATAGTGTCATTGATCTCAACCTCGGCGGAAGATCTTTTCTTTGATGATTCGGTCTCAGGGTTTTTGAGTTGTTGCCATTTCAGTGAACGGCTTAAAACTCTCCAAAGATTGATGGGGACCTTGCCTTGGTGTCCGTCGTCTTGATACCGGGCGGTGGCTTATCGCAGAACATCGACATCGTTCATCCTTCTTTCTTAGAGCACTGGAAATACTTGTGAAGCCCCGTACTTCAGAATTTCTCTCTCTGCCACGTAGGCTTTAACTTAACTCACAGTTTTACTGGAAATGGATTTGGAGCCCCGAGACTTCAACCTTTATTTTTACTTTTTGAATACACATCTTGTAAAAATTAATAAAATTATATTAATTAATTAAATTTAAACGATAATAATTCATTAAATAAAATATTGCATTAATAAAATAAGATTTGAATAATAACAACAAAAAATTAAAAATCACATTAAATTACAAAGAAATTACCGATTATTTGAGAGACTAAAAATATTTTCAATCAAATCCGCCATTAGTCCTTGTGAATCTCTCACATTTAAATTTCTTGGCGGTTTCTTAATTTTTTTCTTCATCAATTTCTTTGTATGTAGACGCCTCCACATCCTCGTTGTAATTACAAATTACAAACCCATTATCCTCTATGATCATATTATGAAGAATATAACATGTGTAAATGATATTCCTCATTTTTCGTTTGAGAATAACACTTAGACGAACGATGTAAAATATGCCACTTACCCTTCAACACCCTGAAGGCTCATTTGCTATCTTTTCTCGTTGCCTCATGAGCTTTTTTGTAGGTATGGCGTTTAAGACCCACTGGTCGAAGAGGGACTAGATAATCGTAGAATAATCTGGATATATTCCATAGACAAGATAATATCCATGCTTGTAAGGCGTCTGTCAAAGAACCAATTCAACCAAAAGCTCAAGCTTGTGGTTGTGGCCTAAGAACAGTTATTTAAATTCTAACACGCCCCCTCACGTGCATGCGTAGTCTTTTTCGAGCCTTGCACGTGAAACCTTGTTTTTTTAAACTGGGTGGCGCTGAGTTTCGAACCCGTGACCTCTTAGTCAACGAGGCTTTGATACCATGTCAAGGAACCAACTCAACCAAAACCTCAAGCTTGTGGTTGTGGCCTAGGAACAATTATTTATATTCTAACAGTGTTTATTTGCAGCGTGCACTTGCCACTCTCCTGTCGGTGTGTGTTTTTATTGTGTTAATTTGGGGAAACACAAAACACATCCTCCGTGCAACATCAAGATTCTACTGAGTGCGGCGTAGCCGGGGTATATTCATATTACATAATCCCCGGCATATTCGCTTATGCCATACTAATATGATATGTCTTGTGAAGTTTCTACAAACTCAAAATAATGTTTTGGCGATGATGATCACCTCCGTTTTGACTGCCCTTTATCATGTCCTTCTGTGTTGGGCGATGATTTTAAAATCATGCCAGGGCTAAAGACGAGCTACATATTGGATCAACACAGTGCTACTGCTGTGCTACATAAAATTTTCTTCCTCCTTCAAACTCTGTACCTGTCCCAAAAGATCTCTTCCGGAAGCTTTATAGAATCGAAAGAATTTCCAACGTCACGGTAGTTTGGAGTACGATACCGTGAGGTGTAACTAGTTAAGTTAAGTGATGTCCACTTCTTCATTAATATTTCAGTTGTTAAACTAAATATAATTAAATTATTTTCATACTAAAATACATTATAGTTTTATTTACTTCAAACCCAAAATTCATTTTGTTTTACTCCAAAAAATTAAAATATATAAATACTTTCCCTCGATTGCCTCCTCCTCTAAAATAAATATGGAGGAATAAGAGTTGTCATCGCAGGTTCATCCCAATTGCATAATCTTGATACAGACTAGAATATCTCTCTCGTTCTTTCATTTTTTTTCTTACTCTCGCTTTCAACACCAATATTGCTTCATCCAATACAAACCAGTAGCTCTGATCTCTAACTCTCTTTCAATTCCTTTTTTCTCAAGGCCTCTCTCTTTGTTTAGCTAAACACATACATTTTGTAAGAATGGAGAGGAACATGATTATAGAAGCGAAAAAGCATTTAAAGATTGTTTTTCCATAATTTTTGCGGTACTCATAAAATATTTGTTGCAAGCCATATTGATACTATTTGGTTGCCGTCTTGGAAAGGAAACTTTAGGCGGTGTTTCTTTATACGTCTCTTTTTCTTCGGTCACACGTTTCAGCGTCTTGGTAAGCAAACAAACATATCATTTATTTATTTTTATGTGTATTTTTAATGTTTTTCAGTGTTGAGTAAGTTAATTATTTTAATTCTTATTACGTAATTATTTTAATTATTATATTTATCATGTAAGATAGGACTTGCAAGTACACTGGACACACTATCCGACCAAGCATTTGGAGCTCGGCACCTTCATTTGGTTGGTGTTTATTTGCAGCGTGCACTTGCCATTCTCCTGTCGGTGTGTTTTTTGATTGTGTTAATTTGGGGAAACACAAAACACATCCTCCGTGCAACATCAAGATTCTACTGTGTGCGGCGTAGCCGCGGTATATTCATATTACATAATTCCCGGCATATTCGCTTATGCCATACTACAATGATATGTCTTGTGAAGTTTCTCCAAACTCAAAATAATGTTTTGGCGATGATGATCACCTTTGTTTTGAATTGACTGTCCTTTGCCATGTCCTTCTGTGTTGGGCGCTGGTTTTAAAATCAGGCCAGGGCTAAAGACGAGCTACATATTGGATCAACACAGTGCTACTGCTGTGCTACATAAAATTTTCTTCCTCCTTCAAACTCTGTACCTGTCCCAAAAGATCTCTTCCGGAAGCTTTATAGAATCGAAAGAATTTCCAACGTCACGGTAGTTTGGAGTACGATACCGTGAGGTGTAACTAGTTAAGTTAAGTGATGTCCACTTCTTCATTAATATTTCAGTTGTTAAACTAAATATAATTAAATTATTTTCATACTAAAATACATTATAGTTTTATTTTCTTCAAACCCAAAACTCATTTTGTTTTACTCCAAAAAATTAAAATATATAAATACTTTTCCTCGATTGCCTCCTCCTCTAAAATAAACATGGAGAAATAAGAGTTGTCATCGCAGGTTATCCCAATTGTAGAATCTTGATACAGACTAAAATATCTCTCTCTTTCTTTCATTGTTTTTCTTACTCTCGCTTTCAACACCAATATTTCTTCATCCAATACAAACCAGTAGCTCTGATCTCTAACTCCCTTTCAATTCCTTTTTTCTCAAGGCCTCTCTCTTTGTTTAGCGAATCACATACATTTTGTAAGAATGGAGAGAAACATGATTATAGAAGCGAAAAAGCATTTAAAGATTGTTTTTCCATAATTATTGCGGCACTCGTGAAATATCTGCTGCAAGTCATATCGATGATATTTGGTTTCCGTTTTAGAAAGGAAACTTTAGGCGGTGTTTCTTTATCCGTCTCTTTTTTTTTCGGTCACACGTTTCAGCGTCTTGGTAAGCAAACAAACATATCATTTATTTATTTTTATGTGTATTTTTAATGTTTTTCAATGTTGAGTCAGTGAATTATTTTATTTCTTATTACGTGATTATTCTAATTCTTATATTTATCAAGTAAGATAGGACTCGCAAGTACACTGGACACACTATCCGACTAAGCATTTAGAGCTCGGCACATTCGTTTGGTTGGTGTTTATTTGCAGCGTGCACTTTCCATTCTCCTGTCGGTGTGTGTTTTTATTGTGTTAATTTGGGGAAACACAAAACACCTCCTCCTTTCAACATCAAGATTCTACTGTGTGCGGCGTAGCCGGGGTATATTCATATTACATAATCCCCACCATATTCGCTTATGCCATACTACAATGATATGTCTTGTGAAGTTTCTCCAAACTCAAAATAATGTTTTGGCGATGAATATCACCTCCGTTTTGACTGTCCTTTGTCATGTCCTTCTGTGTTGGGCGATGGTTTTAAAATCAAGCCAAGGCTAAAGACGAGCTCCATTTTGTAAGAATGGAGAGGAACATGATTATATAAGCAAAAAAGCATTTCAAGATTGTTTTCCATAATTTGTGCGGCACTCATGAAATATTTGTTACAAGTCATATCGATGATATTTGGTTGCCGTCTTGGAAAGAAAAATTTAGGTAGTGTTTCTTTATCTGTCTCTTTTTCTTCGGCCACACGTTTCAGCGTCTTGGTAAGCCAACAAACATATCATTTATTTATTTTTATGTGTACGTATTTTTAATGTTTTTTAGTCAGTTAATTTTTTTAATTCTTATTACGTGATTATTCTAATTCTTATATTTATCACGTAAGATAGGACTCGCAAGTACATTGGACACACTATCCGACCAAGCATTTGGAGCTCGACACCTTCGTTTGGTTGGTGTTTATTTGCAGCGTGCACTTGCCACTCTCCTGCCAGTGTGTGTTTTTATTGTGTTAATTTGGGGAAACACAAAACACATCCTCCGTGCAACATCAAGATTCTACTGTGTGCGGCGTAGCCGGGGTATATTCATATTACATAATCCCCAGCATATTCGCTTATGCCATACTACAATGATATGTCTTGTGAAGTTTCTCGAATTTCAAAATAATGTTTTGGCGATGAAGATCACCTGCATTTTGACTATCCTTTGTCATGTCCTTCTGGCTAGGGCTAAAGACGAGCTACATATTGGATCAACACAGTGCTACTGCTGTGCTACTTAAAATTTTCTTCCTTCTTCAAAGAGACATGGACAGGGATTTCTAAAGAAGGCCTTCGAAATATCCTAGCTTTCCTAAAGGTTGCAGTGCCATCAACCCTCATGCTATTGCACTCCACATTGATCAATTCAATTCACTACAACACTTCTTTATTAATATTTCAGCAATTAAACAAAATATAATTAAATTATTTTCATACTAAAATACATTATAGTTTTATTTACTTCAAATCCAAAATTCATTTTATTTTACTCAAAAAAATCATAATATATAAATACTTTCCCTCGATTGCCTCCTCCTCTAAAATAAATATGGAGAAATAAGAGTTGTCATCGCAGGTTCATCCCAATTGTAGAATCTTGATACAGATTAGAATATCTCTCTCTTTCTTTCATTCTTTTTCTTACTCTCGCTTTCAACACCAATATTGCTTCATCCAATACAAACCAGTAGCTCTGATCTCTAACTCCCTTTCAATTCCTTTTTTCTCAAGGTCTCTCTCTTTGCTTAGCTAAACACATACATTTTGTAAGAATGGAGAGAAACATGATTTTAGAAGCGAAAAAGCATTTAAAGATTGTTTTTCCATAATTTTTGCGGCACTCGTGAAATATCTGTTGCAAGTCATATCGATGATAATTGGTTTCCGTCTTGGAAAGGAAACTTTAGGCGGTGTTTCTTTATCCGTCTCTTTTTTCTTCGGTCACACGTTTCAGCGTCTTGGTAAGAAAAAAACGTATCATTTATTTATTTTTATGTATATTTTTAATGTTTTTCAGTGCTGAGTTAGTGAATTATTTTATTTCTTATTACGTGATTATTCTAATTCTTATATTTATCATGTAAAATAGGACTCGCAAGTACACTGGATGGCTGGACACACTATCCCACCAAGCATTTGGAGCTCGGCACCTTCATTTGGTTGGTGTTTATTTGCAGCGTGCACTTGCCACTCTCTTGTCGGTGTGTGTTTTTATTGTGTTAATTTGTGGAAAAACAAAACACATCCTCCGTGCAACATCAAGATTCTATTGTGTGTGGCGTAGCTGGGGTATATTCATATTACTGATACGAATATCGTATCGGATAGGGAAGAACTTCGAGCGTCTTCGGGCTCCAAGAAAGGGGAGGCAAAGAGAGAAGGAAAACTTCGAGCGTTTCCGGGCTCCAAGAAAATAGAGAAGGAGATTAGGGTTTTGATATTTCTTTATTGATTTCATAATAACGGGGAAGGGTTACAATATATAGGAAGTAAAGCTATGCTAGTTGACCTAATGGGTTCGGGCCCGTACTAAACTCTAATCTATAGAATATTAATAAATAATAATAAGTAATACGGAGTACTATTTAATAAATAATATAACTAATATTATCATATCATTCCCACCCCCTTAAAATCCACCTTGTCCTCAAGGTGGAGGCTCCCACTCGTGCTTCTGAACCGGAGAGATAATGCTAAACCAAAGGAGCAGTCTACTCTTTGAATCTTCAACCACCTTGGCTCGTGCAGCAAAGTGATGGAAATATGAGACAGGGCACATAGCATATGCAGTTACTCTCGGTGAAACCAGGTGCTCCGTCTTGACCATAGCGACAATGTCAAATAACTTAATGGTGTCAGATAAAATGGGAATGTCCGCTAGCTTATTATCTGCATCTGCCACCTTGTCAATAATATCAGGAACATTAAAATCTTCAATGACCACACCCATCGAGGTATTGATTGGTGTATAAAATCCATCAGATATAGGATCGTGTTTGTAGGATGACTCATCATCACTAGCTCTAGCACCCTCATTTTCATGTATGGCGTCATACCCACTATCCACGATATCCTCGACGTATGGTGCAACACGTAGTCCCTCAAACCCAACTGCATCCTCTAGAATAAGAGTCGGGAGTACGACTGCTTCGTCCATTTTCTGGACAAATGTATCACCTTTCATTGGAGACAAATTTGCTATAGGAAAAGAAGCGTCAATGAGGCTTTTTATACCACCCAACATGTTTGTTTTGAAATTTTGTAACTCGAAAGAAATCAAACTTGGCAAAATTGGGGGATCGCGAACCAAATCTTGTATAGAGCAAGAGATTTTGATGTCAAATGCGTAGAAGTCAGAATCATGACTTGGCTGACCTGGAGTATGAGGAAACGATCGGAGCGTTTTCATAAGTTCATCAACATGATCATAAATTCAACACACCCCTTCGTCTAAATCAATATCTCCATATAAAACATTTTCCAATAAATCAATAAGTCTCTGTAGTGTACAAGTACACATAACCAAAGCTTCTAACCGTTTGAATCGGGCCTCCATGCGGAATGAAAATTCCTGCTGCATTTGATAACAAAGAATACTCTGTAAGGAATGATTTGAGGTAGTGGGCTTGCACACCTCTCCAATTGATCAAACCTCACCAATTGAGAAATATGCAGCGATTCTGGCAGTAATTTGACGGCCCAATTTGGTCAAAATAGCCAAATAGCTTTGCGTCTGAGATCCCCAAATCAAATTCAAAAATAATACTTCCCGAATTTAAGGCACCGACTAGGAGAGAAAAAATAGTGCGTAGATATCACCTGGCTGAAACTTCAAGGCACCATTTTTTTATTTGACGCCTTGCCTTCTGATCAAGGAATGCTTCTTTTCTTTCTTTTGATATTGTTGGCCCCCTCTGAATAAGATTGATCCCAATTTGGCGTAGAGTCAATTGTCCACTAATGGAGCGTAATGAACTGCCCAATTGATGAAATTTGTTCTGCAATTTGTGGCTTAGATCTATGGCGGCTCCGCAATGGTCTTGCTTCGATCGGCCGCACGACACAAATCACAAATAGCCTTCAAAGTGTGGCAGTGGCTGGATTTCTTCTTCTCTCGCTATTTTTTTTGTAGATTTGCACCGGCGGATCAACGATAGAACAATGGAGACGGCGGCAAACAGCGGCAACTGATCTCCTTTTTTTTGTGATTTTTTTTGTTTTTTTGGAGTTCAAAGCAATGAGAGCACCAATTGATACGAATATCGTATCGGATAGGGAAGAACTTCGAGCGTCTTCGAGCTCCAAGAAAGGGGAGGCAAAGAGAGAAGGAAAACTTCAAGCGTTTCCGGGCTCCAAGAAAATAGAGAAGGAGATTAGGGTTTTGATATTTCTTTATTGATTTCATAATAACGGGGAATGGTTACAATATATAGGAAGTAAAGCTATGCTAGTTGACCTAATGGGCTCGGGCCCGTACTAAACTCTAATCTGTAGAATATTAATAAATAATAATAAGTAATACGGAGTACTATTTAATAAATAATATAACTAATATTATCATATCAATTACATAATCCCCGGCATATTCGCTTATGTCATACTACAATGATATGTCTTGTGAAGTTTCTCCAAAATCAAAAAAATGTTTTGGCGATGATGATCACCTCCGTTTTGACTGTCCTTTGTCATGTCCTTCTGTGTTGGGCAATGGTTTTAAAATCATGTCCTTCTGTGTTGGGCGATGGTTTTAAAATCAGGCTAGGGCTAAAGACGAGCTACATATTGGATCAACACAGTGCTACTGCTGTGCTACATAAAATTTTCTTCGTCCTTCAAAGAGACATGGACAGGGTTTTCTAGAGAAGACCTTCGAGATATCCTAGCTTTCGTAAAGGTTGCAGTGCCATCAACCCTCATGCTATGGCACTCCACATTGATCAATTCAATTCACTATAGCACTTCTTCATTAATATTTCGCAAGTTAAACTAAATATAGTTAAATTATTTTCATACTAAAATACATTATAGTTTTATTTACTTCAAACCCAAAATTCATTTTGTTTTACTCCAAAAAATTAAAATATATAAATACTTTCCCTCGATTGCCTCCTCCTCTAAAATAAATATGGAGAAATAAGAGTTGTCATCGCAGGTTCATCCCAATTGTAGAATCTTGATACAGATTAGAATATCTCTCTCTTTCTTTCATTGTTTTTCTTACTCTCGCTTTCAACACCAATATTGCTTCATCCAATACAAACCAGTAGCTCTGATCTCTAACTCCCTTTCAATTCCTTTTTTCTCAAGGCCTCTCTGTTTGTTTAGCTAATCACATACATTTTGTAAGAATGAAGAGAAACATGATTATAGAAGCAAAAAAACATTTAAAGATTGTTTTTCCATAATTTTTGCGGCACTCGTGAAATATCTGTTGCAAGTCATATCGATGATATTTGGTTTCCGTCTTAGAAAGGAAACTTTAGGCGGTGTTTCTTTATCCGTCTCTTTTTTTCGGTCACCCGTTTCAGCGTCTTGGTAAGCAAACAAACGTATCATTTATTTATTTTTATGTGTATTTTTAATGTTTTTCAGTGTTGAGTCAGTGAATTATTTTATTTCTTATTACGTGATTATTCTAATTCTTATATTTATCATGTAAGATAGGACTCGCAAGTACACTGAACAAACTATCCGACTAAGCATTTAGAGCTCGGCACATTCGTTTGGTTGGTGTTTATTTGCAGCGAGCACTTGCCACTCTCTTGTCGGTGTGTGTTTTTATTGTGTTAATTTGGTGAAACACAAAACACCTCCTCCGTGCAACATCAAGATTCTACTGTGTGCGGCGTAGCCGGGGTATATTCATATTACATAATCCCCAGCATATTCGCTTATGCCATACTACAATGATATGTCTTGTGAAGTTTCTCCAAACTCAAAATAATGTTTTGGCGATGAAGATCACCTCCATTTTGACTATCCTTTGTCATGTCCATCTGTGTTGGGGGATGGTTTTAAAATCAGGCCAGGGCTAAAGATGAGCTATATATTGGATCAACACAGTGCTACTGCTGTGCTACATAAAATTTTCTTCCTCCTTCAAAGAGACATGGACAGGGTTTTCTAGAGAAGGCCTTCGAAATATCCTAGCTTTCCTAAAGGTTGCAGTGCCATCAACCCTCATGCTATGGCACTCAACATTGGTCAATTCAATTCACTACATCACTTCTTCATTAATATTTCAGCAGTTAAATTAAATATAATTAAATTATTTTCATACTAAAATAAATTATAGTTTTATTTACTTCAAACCCAAAATTCATTTTGTTTTACTCCAAAAAATTAAAATATATAAATACTTTCCTTCAATTGCCTCCTCCTCTAAAATAAATACGGAGGAATAAGAGTTGTCATCGCAGGTTCATCTCAATTGAAGAATCTTGATATAGACTAGAATATCTCTCTCTTTCTTTCATTTTTTTTCTTACTCTCGCTTTCAACACCAATATTGCTTCATCCAATACAAACCAGTAGCTCTGATCTCTAACTCCCTTTCAATTCCTTTTTTCTCAAAGCATCTCTCTTTCTTTAGCTAAATACATAGATTTTGTAAGAATGGAGAGGAACATGATTATATAAGCAAAAAAGCATTTAAAGATTGTTTTTCCATAATTTTTGCGGCACTCATGAAATATTTGTTGCAAGTCATATCGATGATATTTGGTTGCCGTCTTGGAAAGAAAAATTTAGGCGGTGTTTCTTTATCAGTCTCTTTTTCTTCGGCCACACGTTTCAGCGTCTTGGTAAGCCAACAAACAAACCATTTTATTTATTTTTATGTGTACGTATTTTTAATGTTTTTCAGTCAGTGATTTATTTTAAATCTTATTACGTGATTATTCTAATTCTTATATTTATCATGAAAGATAGGACTCGCAAGTACACTAGACACACTATCCGACCAAGCATTTAGAGCTCGGCACCTTCGTTTGGTTGGTGTTTATTTGCAGCGTGCACTTGCCACTCTCCTGTCGGTGTGTGTTTTTATTGTGTTAATTTGGGGAAACACAAAACACATCCTCCGTGCAACATCAAGATTCTATTGTGTGCGGAGTAGCCGGGGTATATTCATATTACATAATCCCCGTCATATTCGCAAATGCCATACTACAATGATATGTCTTGTGAAGTTTCTCCAAACTCAAAATAATGTTTTGGCGATGATGATCACCTCCGTTTTGACTGTCCTTTGTCATGTCCTTCTGTGTTGGGCGATGGTTTTAAAATCAGGCCAGGGCTAAAGACGAGCTACATATTGGATCAACACAGTGCTACTGCTGTGCTACATAAAATTTTCTTCCTCCTTCAAAGAGACATGGACAGGGTTTTCAAGAGAAGACCTTCGAAATATCCTAGCTTTCCTAAAGGTTGCAGTGTCATCAACCCTCATGCTATGGCACTCCACATTGATCAATTCAATTCACTACAGCACTTCTTCATTAATATTTCAGCAGTTAAACTAAATATAATTAAATTATTTTCATACTAAAATACATTATAGTTTTATTTACATCAAACCCAAAATTCATTTTGTTTTACTCCAAAAAATTAAAATATATAAATACTTTCCCTCGATTGCCTCCTCCTCTTAAATAAATACAGAGAAATAAAAGTTGTCATCGCAGGTTCATCCCAATTGTAGAATCTTGATACTGACTAGAATATCTCTCTTTCTTTCATTGTTTTTCTTACTCTCGCTTTCAACACCAATATTGCTTCATCCAATACAAACCAGTAGCTCTGATCTCTAACTCCCTTTCAATTCCTTTTTTCTCAAGGCCTCTCTCTTTGTTTAGCTAATCACATACATTTTGTAAGAATGGAGAGAAACATGATTATAGAAGCGAAAAAGCATTTAAAGATTGTTTTTCCATAATTTTTGCGGCACTCATGAAATATCTGTTGCAAGTCATATCGATGATATTTTGTTTTCGTCTTAGAAAGGAAACTTTAGGCGGTGTTTCTTTATCCGTCTCTTTTTTTTCGGTCACACGTTTCAGCGTCTTGGTAAGCAAACAAACGTATCATTTATTTGTTTTTCCATAATTTTTGCGGCACTCGTGAAATATCTGTTGCAAGTCATATCGATGATATTTGGTTTCCATCTTGGAAAGGAAACTTTAGGCGGTGTTTCTTTATCCGTCTTTTTTTTTCGGTCACACGTTTCAGCGTCTTGGTAAGCAAACAAAATATTTCATACAAAATTTTTCTTCATTAATATTTCAGCAG